CCATCAGTAATTGTTAAAAATGACTGAAGATTTCTATCATTTAAATAACAATAATAGAATGTTACTTTCATCCTTCATGTTATCCTACTAGAAATGTACAGTCATTTTATAGTCACTTGAAATTCTTCATTGAGCCAGACATAGTAATGCACACTGTAACTCCAGCACTCAGAAGGCTGAGGCAGGAGGGTCACAAGTTCCAGGCAGCCTGGGCTACATAACAAGACAGTATCTAAAAAACGGGGGGAAGGGTCTTGTATGGCTTCAGAGTTAGCTTCATTTTATTCAATCTATATTTGAGTACTACTTTTTCTGCACCAGTGGTATTCAAGCATTCTACTGCTTTTTAGAAAGGAGGGGAGAGAGGAAGAAGGGAAAGAAGAAAGTAAAAAGAAACACCTTATTTTACATAGAAATTTTTCTTATAAGAATTGTATGGAGCCAGGTGGCTCACGCCTGTCATCTTAGCTACTCAGGAGGCAGAGATCAGGAGGATCATGGTTCGAGGCCAGCCTAGGCAGATAGTTTTTGAGACCCTGTCTTGAAAATACCCAGCACAAATGTAGGACTGGTAGAGTGGCTCAAGGTGTAGTCCGTAAGTTCAAACCCCAGTACCACCAATAATAATAATAATTATAATAATAATAACAATAATTATATGGGAAGTACTTTTATAAGTTAAAAAAGCCATCACACTTAACATTTTTATAAATTTAGTTGGAGGGGTAGTGGTGTGCTTTTTAGAACAATAATATGGCTTAAAGTCAGATCTCTGTCTTTCCTCCTCCCCAGGCTATTTTCTGAGCCACTTGGTAATCAGTCACATTTTCTTTTTGTTCTGGCTTTTTTTGTTTTTTTTTTTTTTTTGGCAGTGTTGGGGTTTGAACTCGGCCTTGCCACTTGCTACACATGTGCTCCATCGTGTGAGCCATGCCCCAGCCTTTTTTTTTTTTGCTTTAGTTATTTTTTAAGTGGGTCTCTCTTTTTTTGCCCCAGGCCATGATCCTCCTACCTAGGGCCTCCCACGTAGCTGAGATGACAGGCACATACCACCACACCTGGCTTAATGATTAAGTTGGGGTTCTCACTAACTTTTTGCCTAAGCTGACCTGAAACCATGATCCTTCCAATCTCTACCACCTAAATAGCTGGGATGACAGGTGTGTGCCTGTGATCCATTTTCTAGTAAGTCACTTGAACCACCACAGCACACAGGCTTCTCATGGTCCTCAGGCATTAGGGTGCTGGGCACACCTGCCTGAGTGTTCAGTCCTGACCACAGTCCCCACTGTGGCTGGACATGTGTGCTTGCTCTGTCACAAAGTTCCTGAGCAAGCCTTCAGTGGTCTGTGACACCGTGCAGGGCCTTTTTCTCTGGGTGACTCTTGTAAGCCTTTGTGATTTGAAGTGTAGCCTCTTGCCCCAGCTACATTATTAGGTTTAAAATTTGTGTCCCACACCACCCAGCACTGCTTCTCAGTAGGTCTCAGGCATCCCACTGACAGGGTGACACTTGAGGCCACCTGTGACCCCTCATTTTCAGGCTGCATGAGGAATCCCAGCCTTGCATTGGGCCTGGGCATTCATTGCCATCCAGCTACTTGTGTCCCTCGCATGCTGGGCACCTATGCTGCACGATTCTGTTTGAGGAAAAGGACACTTCCTGTGCCCTCTTGCTGCCTGTTCGTTGCCACTCTGGATGTGGGCGGCGAATGCCTCACTTTGTCTTCATGAAAAAGTCACTCTGGGGTTGTATGCCCTAGGATGGAGCTATGCAGCTTCAGTGACAGGAAGCTCAGCACTGGCCTGTGTTCCCTGCACATAGAGCTTAGACCCAAAGCCCTCAGGCACACTGGGTCCTGCTCTGTGATCCTGGTCTCCTTGTGCCTGGGTATGGAGATTTACAGGCCCAGAAAGTGATGGGGTGGACAGATGGGGCAGGAGCAGAATGCCATGGCTGTAGACCCTATGCTTCCTAGTGCAACATTTCCCACTGTAAGGACCCACAGGACACTGGCCGCGAGGCCATGCTCAGGTCTCCTAAGTCAGGGCCAGAATGGCCTTGCAGCTCACGAAGTTGCTGCTGCCCATGGGCTCCTCATAAGGAGTTATGTATTTAGGAAGATACTTTCCTAAATAGCTTTTTTTCATTTTATTTATTTATTTATTGGTGGTACTGGGGTTTGAACTCAGTACCTTGAGTTTTCTAGGCAGGTGGTCTACTACATGAGTCACTCCCTAGCCCTGTTTTTGACTTCTGAAAACTGACTTTTTAGTGAACTGGTGGTTGGTCTCATTTATAGTCCCTGGCTATAAACAGAGTTTAGAGCAATCGTTCTGTTGTCTCTGACTTGTGCCTCAAGATGATTTAAAAAATCTATTGTCCCACTCAGAAATTCTCCCCTCAGGAGAATGCAATCCTTCAAGAGGTATTGGACCCTGGCCAGCTTACAAATGGTCAGTGCTTAGTGAGATCAGGGTGTTGGAAAGGAGCTAGGCAGCACAGGTTTCCAGGGTTGTTCTGTGTGTGGTAGTTAAGGCAAGTTGAGACGAAAATCCTTCTGAGTGAAAAAACTGCCTGCCCTCTTCACAGCCTCTCTCCAACCTCTGCCAGCAGACAGCAGAAGGGAAGTGACTGCAGTCCTGGCGCCATCTTGGAATTCAGGGGCACGCTTGTACATGTGTGTCTGTCCTCCAGGATTCCTTTGCCATCACTCATAAGTTGAAGTCACAGACTTCAAAAAGAAGTCTTTGCAAAAAGATGGCAACTATAACTGCTCATGAATCAGGAAGAATTGGTGGAATTTGTTCCGATGTCAGCAAGTACATACATGCAGACTGCTCTTTGTTTTTCTTGCCCTCCTTGTAAAGAGAGAGGGTGGCCAAGTGAGGTGGTGGATGCCTGTGATCCCAGCACTCAGAAGACTGAGGTAGAAAGATCACAAGTTCAAGGCCAGCCTGAGCTACTTAGCAAGACCCTGTCTCAAAAAGAGTAAGCCTAAAAGTAGAGTTTCCAAGTCAAATGAGTCTGGCACCCAAAATGATTCTCTCCATCTACCCCCTTCTCCCGCATGTCTGGAAGTTTCTGTTTTACTGCCATCAAAGCTGGAGAAGCTCTCATGATTATGACATTATTGCTTACACTTGTGAATTTATTCTTGGGTGTTTGTTTTGGTATGTTCATCTTTTTTTCTAGTTTTTGTATTTTTGGAAGAATCTTTACTTGGGGAAAGATGCTAACTTCTCACTGCAACCTTTGTGTGTGCTCACCGTGTTGGTCTGGATGGGCTTTGCAGCTCCTGCTTTACAGTGGCATTGCTGTGCTAATTCTGCAACCTCACAAGTGCTGTTCATGCTGGAAGCCTGAAAGCCCCATGGGGGACACAATCAGTCTCACCCATGTGCCTGTCAGTAGGAAAACAGAGAGGGAGATTGTACGTATCTATACATGAAGGCACTGCTCAGCAGGAAAAAGGAGCAGACTGTGCTCCCAGAAACATGGCTGCTTACACTGAGCAAAAGAAAATGGACAGGCCAAGTGCAGTGGCTTATGTCTCTAATCCCAGCTACTTGGGAGGCAGAGATCCAAAGGATGGCAGTTTGAGGCCAGCCCAGGGAAACCGTTAGCAAGACTCTATCTCAACCAATAAAAAGCTGGGCAGAGTAGCATATCATCCCACCTACATGGGAAGCATAAATAGGGTCACAGTCCAGGCTGGCCAGGGCATAAACGCAAGACTATGTAGAAAAATAGCCTAGAGTAAAAAGGGTTGGGGTGTGGCCCAAGTGGTAGTGGTTGCCTACAAGTGCAAGGTCCTGAGTTCAAACTCTAGCACCATGAGAAAAATAAATAAAAATTTAAAAAGAAGGTGGTGACAGCATAGGTCTGATCTATGGGCAGATCGATGGTGACAGAAAGTAGATTGGTGGTTGCCAGGTATGGCAGGGTTGTGGGGAAGTGAGGGGAGTTCCATGGTGCAGAATTTCCTCTGGGGCCATCAAAAGCCCTCATCTAGGGCTAGGAGTTGTGTCAGTGATTGCACAGCTCTTGGGCAGCCAGAAACCATGAACGTGTACATTGTAGAGAGGTGAATTTTATCTCCATAATGCTTTCAAAAGGTGAACAGAAAAGTGTGCACACTGTGGTCCCCTGAATATCAAGCTCTGGGACAGCCTGTGTCATCTAAGGCAGTGGAAGTAATGATGGGGTTGGGTGGAGGGCAGGAAGGGGCAGCAGAAGTGCTCTGTCCTGAGTGGCTCTCACACATGCCTGCAGTTGTGTGAGCGTCATTAGACTGGGGGGAAAGGCTTTCTAAGGCCGAGTGCCTGCCCAGCAAGCACAGGCCCTGAGTGCAACCTGCATTCTACCTGAAAAACAGTCCCTGATCTCTGCCACCTTTTCCCTAAAGACTTGAAAGTGCCATTTTTCCTCCCTCCCTTCCTCCCTCCCTTCCTTCTTGCCTTAATGGTTCTAAAGCATTTCTCTGCTCAGTCATAACTTAACTCTGTCTGCTGACAAAGTTCCCACCAGTCCCTTCAGGGCCCCAACCCCTACCAAGCCTGAGCCAGAGCACTTTGGGAAATGACCCAAAGTCAGAGGTTAGAGCATTAGTGGACACCATGCACGTAATATGACAGTTCTAGGAAACTGAAATCGGTAGTTCCCGCCCCCTTCCCAAGACTGACAAACAGTCTCTTGTGCTGGAATTCAGTTTGTGTGATAACATAGTCATTTCAAGACTGTGGGGCTCGCCATTCCCTCTTCCAAGAGGAAGTACCTTGATGCACTTGAAACCCTAGGATGTACTGCAAAGATATTTTTGGAGGCAGGGGACTTTTTTAAGAAGTGATGCAGATTACCTAAGGCAAGTAGCTCCTGCCTGTGGGCCGGGTGGGAAGTGTGTGGGCATAAGGCAAGCCTGGAGTGGAGGATGGGCAGGTTCTCACCACCCTCTGGTGAAAACGCCCTGGCGTCATTACCTCTTTCCTGTGGGGTGTAGGAGCTGGTCAGGCTAACCATTGAGAAGCAGGGACGGCCGTCTCCAACCAGCCCCGTGAAGCCCAGCTCCCCGGCAGGCAAGCCTGATGGGTGAGTGTTGACCATGCCCTCCCAGCCCAATGAATATGCTAGGCTGGTCTCAACAAAGCCTGGGATCCAGGCAGACAGAGGGAGCACTGGGGAGGCTTGGGCAGCCCTGGTTCTCTCTCCATGGGTAAATTCTGGGTGAGTACTGTCTCTTTAACATAAGCATGCTTCCCTAAGTTTTAAAGCGTTGTCTCATTTTTCTCAAGTTCAGTGTCCACGTGACTGTTTCTAAGGGTGCTGTGCAAGTGTGCACAGAAAGGGAGATGATTACCTATCATCAGCCCAAGCCAAAGCAGCTCCTCCTGAGCAGTCTCATCACAGGATCGAACTTCTAAGGGCTAGAGTTCAGGGAGGAATACCAGGGTTCTAATATTGCCATTTTTTCCAGAAGTGAACCGAGGGCTCTGTCTTACATTAACTTCTACTACCAGCCCCTGGTGAGCATCAAACATTGGCTTCCAGCATTGTAAGATACCTTTACATCAGCTAGTCCAAAACTTACATTTTCACTGGAGGAAGCAGTTAGGGGACGAAGCTCTGGCCATTCGTTTAAACTTACTGGGACCCGCAGGGCTCTCTGTGTCCATGGCTGCTGCTTCCCAGCCTCTTCACCCTTCATATTCTTTCTCTCAGGACCTGGAGGTCCTCTGACCTTTTGTAACCCTGAGTTCTTTTTGTCTCTCTAGCCAGCCCGAGCTCCCCCTGACAGACCGAGAGATGGAGATTCTAAACAAGACGACAGGTGTGTCAACATCCACCGAGCTGCTCCCAGACTCTACTGATGAAGAGGTTGCACCCCCCAAACCCCCTTTACCTGGTATCCGGGTGGTTGACAATAGGTAAGTGTCTTCCCATTTTTCTAGCAGCTCCTCTATTCATGACATAATGTGGGAATAGATGGCACAATGAGCACAAAGGAAAGAACTGGGTGCTCAGTCCCTGGCTCTTTATGTGCTCTGAAGGTCTGGTACTGCTCAGGAGGGGCATCTGTGGGGGTGGTCAAGCACCCCCCCTCTCCCCTGCCCTGGGACCCTTGTGCGTGCTCTGAGCTCTCTTTACAGCTTTGTTCTCAGTTGAGTGAAACCTGGTAAAATTTACTACTATGAAGGAAAAAGAAAGTCTCTGGGTTTTGCTTTTTTTTGGTGGGAGGTATTTATAGATCTTATTTTGGCACAAGGGGAGCAGGTGAAAGTGATGCATGGAAATTGAGGGTAGGGAGGCTGGTGAAGAAAGAATCTCACCCACATCCTACAGTGGTCCTGAAGCACTCCTGTTTGCAGCGCTGGGTTTGTCTCTCAGTCAGATGTTCTCTCTTTTTCAGTCCACCAGCATTGCCACCCAAGAAAAGGCAGTCGGCTCCATCCCCCACCCGAGTGGCTGTGGTTGCCCCCATGAGTCGAGCCACCAGTGGCTCCAGTTTGCCTGTGGGAATCAACAGGCAGGTAACGCAGCCCCTGGGTCCTGTGGGGAGGGGGAGGAAGGAAGGGCTCAGGCTTCAGGGTTTGACTTTAGAAGCCCTGCTGTTAGCCCTGCTCATGGTCGCCCTTTCCCTATAACATGGGAAGGTGGGAGGTGGAAGGCTGGAGCTGTCCACACCCTGCAGCATCCTTGCTGCTCCTTTCCAGTCTCTGAGTAGCATCCCATCGCTGACACCAGAGATGGCCCTTCTCTAAGGCAGCATGCCTGCTAGCTGTCTTGTCCCTGGTCTCTGCCACCCTTTCTCAGAGCTGACTTGAGCTTGTTTTCATTCTTCCTCTTGAGGATTTTGACGTTGACTGTTACACACAGAGGCGCCTATCTGGAGGCAGCCGCTCATGTGGCGGAGAGTCACCCCGCCTGTCCCCCTGCAGCAGCACAGGCAAGCTCAGCCGGTCAGACGAGCAGCTGTCCTCCCTGGACAGGGATAGCGGGCAGGGCTCCCGGAACACAAGCTGTGAAACACTAGGTGAGTCCCTCCTCTGTGGCTGCTTGAGATCCTGCGATCCCTCCCTCTGTGGCTGCTTGAGTCCCAGCAGAGTGCCCAGTATTGGTCAAGTTGCCCTGGCCATGTCACTTTACAGTCTGAGGTTCAGCTTCCTTACCTGCAAACTGTTTGCTCTCAAGGAGGCTGGAAGTGTGCATGGAACAACAGTGTGAAACCACATGGCAAATGCTCAGGTGGTGACTGTCCTTCCAGCCATCCTGGCAGTGGATAATCCATCTGTGCTGAGCTCTCAAAGGGTGAAAGTGGTGAGCAGCCTGCTGACCTTGTTGTTCTGTGCTGATTGAGGTTATGTGGGCTGATCAAGGTCGATGGGCCTATGAGCACTAGGCTGTTCGCGTCCAGTGAACTAGATGGTTTCCCTTAGAAGAAAGTATCCTAAGAGATGTATGGCAAGATTTCTGCCCAAGGAGGTTGATCTCAGCAGTCTTAGGAGTGGCAATAATCACGAAACACTCTGCAAACTCATTGCTGGGAAGTCAGGTGAACCGTGGTGTGTTCATTTGATGGAATAATTTGTAGCTGTTAAAAAATCACTTATGAGCCAGGCACCAGTGGCTCACATCTGTAAACCCACCTACTTGGAAGACTAAGGTGCAGGGTGAGGCCTGCCAAAGCAGGAGGTGGCACCTCTGCTCATATCAGACTGGTTCTCTAAGCCAAGAGTCTGTGGCACTTTGAGCCACATCTTAAAGAAGCAAGACTTGTGGGTTACAAGCTTTAAGAATTAAAGAACAGGGGCTGGAGGTGTGGCTGAAGTGGTAGACCTGCTTTGCAAGTGTGAAGCCCTGCATTCGAACCCCAGTCTCACAGATAAATGTGAAAGAGCAAAGACCATTTGCATGGTGCTTTCTAAGTCAAGTTGAAGGACCTATGGAGAAAAAGAGGCTTTTAGAAAGACATGTCAAGATATACAGAGATGAAAGGTCCTTGGATTTTTATTTCCGTGACAGTTTGCCATGTTTTCTGCAGTAGTCTTTTTTTTTTCTAAAGAAATTTTTAAAATATAGGAAAGGGCTATGAGTGTAGCTCAGTGGTAGAGTACTTGCCTAGGGTGTACAAGGCCCTTGGTTTCATGCCCAGCACTGCAAAAAGCCATACATACAGGAAAGTAAAACAAATAGCTGTATCCACAACTGTTTTACTTCTACAGTTAGAGAGCAGAACAAATACCATCAAATAAAACAAGAGCTGGCAGAAGAGGGAAGGCGCGTTTTGTTTCCCTCTGTGACCAAAATTGGGCAAAGCTCAGGGTGGGCCCATTGCTCCCAGGGACCCTGAAGTAACAGGCCCTTTTCATTCTGTGATTGCAGATCATTACGACCCTGACTATGAATTCCTCCAGCAAGACCTCTCCAATGCAGACCAGATACCTCAGCAGGCGGCCTGTAACCTTAGCCCGTTGCCAGAGTCCTTGGGGGAGTCTGGGTCTCCATTCCTTGGCCATTCTTTCCAGCTGCCTCTTGGCAGCTACCCCCAGCCTGAGGGGCCCCTGGCCCCAGGACAGCAGACAGATACCCCACCTGCTCTTCCTGAGAAGAAGCGAAGGAGTGCAGCTTCACAGACCACGGACAGCTCTGGCTGCAGGGCGTCCTACGAGCGGCACCCCTCTCAGTATGACAACATCTCCGAGGAAGATCCGCAGAACCCTGTTCCAGGCCCACCCGGCCCCTACACACCCTTTGCTGCTATCCTCCCCTTTCAAGGAGGCTCTTCAGCACCTGTTGAGTTCGTGGGTGACTTCACTGCTCCTGAATCAGTGGGCGACCCAGAGAAGCCTCCACCTCTACCAGAGAAGAAAAACAAACACAGTAAGCTTTTCTTGAACTCTCTTCTGGAAGTGCATTTCGTAACCCAAGCAGTAGCCTGTTTTGCTTAGTTTAAGCACGAGACTAAAATCAAAGCAGCAGCCTTATTCTTTCATGTTAAACCATGACCACAGGTATAACACACACACCTCTGGGAGCCTGGTGCTGCCATTCTTTAAAGTCCAATAAGCTGACCTCTCCTTTATGGTGTCTGTGAAGCCTTAGGCATGGTCCCCCAGAGTTAAATTGACCTTCTGGTCTGAACTCAGTGACAGGAATGAGAGTGATGGCACACAGGACTGCATAGCAGCATCACTTGAGTAAAACAAGGTGGGCATTTGATTGTAAAGAAAACTTACCCTCCACCCACACAGGTTTCCTCAGGACCTCTGGTTGGAGACACCTGGGTGCCTGCTGTCCTCTGTTTGCAGACACAGGACAGCTTGCTCACAGTGGCCTAGATCAGAGGTTGCCTGGCAGGAGTAGTCAAAAATGCCTCTTGGACCAAATGTTTTCATATACGATGTTATTAGGGACCAGGGGTGGATCTGAAACATCGGGTATTTGTATTCTGGATGTTTTCCAACTGTTAATTTGCCACTGAATTAGTAAGTAGGATTCTGGAAATTCTATCTTTTAGCTCCCCTAACTGTTCCACATTGGAGGATAGCTGGTCCCACTTCACTAGCACTGTGACCATCTATCACTACTGTGATGTCTCTGTCCACATCGACCCCCTGCCCAAGGATTCCCAGCAATGGACACCTACATTCTAGACATTGGACTTCTGTTCCAATCTACCTGACTAGAGCTTCCCATTCCCAGAGAAAGAAGAGCCTGGCTTGTTTAAACCCAACAGGACTGGCCCAGGACCAACCTGGTGGAAGGAGGAAGCTGCTGAGGTGTAACTACTCCTTGTTCTTCAATGGGTGTCGCCCAGCCTGTGTAATGGCTTTGGCGGGGTGATCCCCAGCTGGAGGGAGAGCTGGTTCTGTGGGCTGATGACATCATTCCATCTGTCGGGTAAACTTGCTTATTAGAAACAAGTCCCTTGGTGGGGGGAGCACACGTGGCCAGGAACGAAGGTGTTCTGGCCCTCTCCCTCCACTTTACCTGGGACAGTATATCAGTTTGTGCCACCACCGCCTTTTTTGGCCTAGGAGTCTCCTGAACTCAGACATGTGACAGGATTGCATCCAAGCAAACTAAACCAGAAACACAGTACTGCCTTGCTGGGTAGCCAGGAAGCCTCCCCTTCTGTCTCTTAGAACAAGTGTGGGCAGTGGTCCTCACACTGGAACTGAGGAGAAGGGGGGGGGAGGAGGATAGCATTGTTCCTGTCAGTCTCTGAAGCCTCAAGTGACTGAAAATAGTTTTCTATGGAGTGAGGCCCTACTTAAAGTATGTCTGGAGCACTTGGGCCTGCAGACCTTTAATCTCAGCTTCCCAGCCTGGACTCTTCCCTGTCAAATCTGACACTGTTGGCACTCAGAGCCAGGCACCTTCCCAGATGAGAAAGCAAGGCATGGGGCTGGCATTTGAGCCAGTTCTTGGTGCTACAGCATGTCCCAGCCCCCAGCACCTAGAGGAAGTGGTCTGGCGCTCCTTCCTTGAGACCCATCCAGCTTTCAGTAGTGACTCATGCAGGGCACTGTCCTGCTCTGTGAAAGAGCTCCAAACTTGAAGCACCCCAAGCTCAGCCCTGGTCCAGAATCCACTCTTCTCTCCCTCATTGAGCTCCAGCCTGTGACCCTATGGAAAACACCTCTCAGAATTGCTTTGAGGGGAAGAAGGACAAGGCTGCATCCCTCATATTGGGGTGCCTCTAGACAAGCTTATACATGCTCAGTTCCAATGTCATAGTGCAGCCTTGCCAAGTGGAGAGCTGACATCATGAGTGACCAAGCCCACAGGTCCCTGGTATTAGGGAACCTTCCTGATTACTGTCACAAATCCTCAAAGCACTGGTGCCCGGTGGAGCACTGCTGTTCTGGTGTCTGAGCTATTGCTGGCTGCCTTGGAAAGGGACTGGCCCTTGTTCCAGGAGTCTGCCCAGCATTGCCGTTCCTCTGTGTATGGCTTACAGGTCTCCACCAGAACCTCAGCATTCAGAGTTCCTGGAAACTGCAACCTGACAGAGCATCAGTCAAAAGTGGTTGCTTGGTCCCTCCAGGGAGCAGTTGGTGGGTCTGGGGTCATCTTCCCTGGCTGGCATCTTTCCTGGAACTGGGCATCATAGTTGGTGCAGAATAAGGTGGCAGCACCATGGGGCCCAGGAGTGCTGGAACCCACACCTTTCTCCCAGCATGGGGGGAAGGGAGGCTCCTCCTGCCACCTTCACAGCCAGGTTTTGCTAGTGTTCACTGGGGCTAAAAAGAAATTCTTTCTTAGTGTTTTAAATATGCCAGGCAAACTTGAGCCCCCTCCTTCAGCAATGGGCATCAGGAATACAAGCCTGGAGAAAGCCTTTGCTGTACCCCAGGCCCCATGAGGTGGGGTGGGGAAGAAGTGCACTCCCTGCCTCTGGCCTGCTGCTGGCCTTAGCTTTCTGACTGCTTAGGTTTCCGGCGGAGCCCAAACTGTTACTTGTAAACACAGCATTCCACACTGCAGAGCCACCCTTGCCTTCTTTCTTTGCCATCTGAATCTCAGCTGTACCTGGCAGGCACTCCAGGCACTTGTGGTGTGACCAGAGGGGAAGTATCACCCCAAGAGGTGGCTGAAACCCACTATCTCTGTGTCTGCCACATGCTGATGTAGGTCTTTTGCTTCTAAACCCAGGTTCCTCTTGCTTCCCAGGTGCTGTCCAGTTAGCTCCCTCTTTGAGTAGATTAACCAGTGCAGGTTCCTAACCAGCTCTCCGGAGACTAGCAGTGGCCTTCCCTCCTAACAGTCCTAGCCCCTGTGTATGCATAGGGACGGTTTCAACACCAGTAGCCCCTCACTGCCTAGAGAAGGAAAACAGTGGGGGTCACTCTGCTGTGGGCAGTGTCAGGGCAGCATCCATTCTGCACACTTTGGTGGGAGTTGATGAAGGGCCTCCGGTCCACCAGGAGTGGTTCACAGGCAGCTTCACTCCCCTTTTCCCAGAGCCTCTGGGCTCTGTAAGAAACAGGACTTGGGTCACTAGACCCGCAGTCAGGAATAAAATGTTCACATGAAGCTGTGTGGAGAGGTGCCTGCAAGGGTGAGATCACCATGCTGTGACAGTGGAGCTCTTTGTTCTCTAGCTTCTCGCCTCCTGGGGCGGGGAATATCCCTGCTGTTGTTCGCTGCCACCCTGCATAGGTGAAGGAGGCTCCCTTTAGGCTGTGTTGTGACAGGCAGCTCAGCCAAGAGGCAGAGTGGAGCTTAGAGGCAGGCTGCAATGATGGTGAGGGAGAAGATGCCCCTGTCAGCCTCCTTGCTCACTCTTGTCCCATTCACTGGGCAGCTGTGTGGCCTTTCAGTGGGCAGGAAGCCCCAGGCTCAGGGGCTGGTGTTTGCTGCATGCCCAGTGGGTTAGCAAGGCCCTGGAGATGCTTGCTGGGGGCATGTGTTCCAGTCACCATTCTACAAATAATGGGCACACCATTGATGCAACACAAACCAGATGTGACCTCTGCTCCCCTGTAGCTTTAGCCCTTCAAAGGAAGACAGTAAATCCTGTTGCATTTATTTTTCAACTGTCCCATCTGAATCACCACCTCCTACCACAATCCCTCTTGGACCATGGCCCTTCACTGGAATAGCCTCTAGGGCCCAGAGTCATTTTTCAAGGCATCCCAAGCATGTGCCAGTAGAACCTACCATGATTCCCTTGTGTTCAGAAGAAAGTCTACTGCCCTGTCCTGTTTGCACAGCTCCATGTGGCCTTGCCGGGGACTGAGCCAGACCTTCCTGTCCCCCTGCCTATGCTCTGCCCAGCCTTGGGTCTTTACATCACTTAAGAGCTCAGTATGGGAAGTCCTCCCTGTCTTCCTGCAGAATGGCACCCATGGCCACCTCATCCTACTCATCCATGCAGCCTTCTTTCCCCATTGCCACACTATATGTGTGTCTATTTTCTGTTGCTCTGAGGGGAGTGTGAATCCCACAAGGCAGAGAATCCATCCTACCAGCCCTGGTGTCTCCCCAGCACCAGTGCTGTGCCTCATGTTTCTAATAGGTACCAGAAGACACTGGATGAATGAGGAAAGGGCTCAGACAGTGAGTTACAAGCTGCGAGAGGAATTGAGAAGGGAGCACAGGGCGAGAAGAGTGCTGTAGGGCCAGGCACAGTTATTCAAGGACAGAACCTAACTGCATCAGGAACCTCATGTGCTGCCCCAAAAGTTGTTCTAGGACCTGAAGGAAGGTAGCACGGTCAAAGCTGAGCCCACAGGCTCTGAAATATGTGACTAAGCCATCCTGCAGAGGCTGAGCCTCACCCTCTGAAGCCCACAGAGACAGGTGTTTTGAGCATAGCTGGAAATTCCTGAGGGTTTTGCAGGAAGGGGGCAAAGTGCCCTGTGTATGCTGTTTTTGTTTTTGTTTTGCAGTATTGGGAATCCTGTGTGCTTTCTTTTAACAGTTTATTTTAGGGCAGTTTTAAGTTCACAGCAACATTGACTGGAAAGTACAGAAATTTCCCATACTGCCGTCCCCCACATGTGTGCCACCTACCCCATTGTGGATGACCCAACAGAGCAGGGCATCTGTTACACTGACCCAGAGCTCAGTGCACAGGAGGATTCTTTCTGGGTGTGGACACTCTGTGAGTTTGGACAAATGTGCAGTGGCACATCTCCACCCTTGCAGTATATTCAGAGTACCGTCACTGCCCCAACGGTCCTTGTGCTCTGCTTGTCCCCCCTCTGAGGCATGAGAATATGCGTGAGGTGGGAGTCCTCTTGGTGGCAACTTCATGGGCTGTGCTCCCATGAGAGGATGCCAGGGCTTCCCTCTGTCCCACAGTGCTGGCCTACATGCAGCTGCTGGAGGACTACTCGGAGCCCCAGCCGTCCATGTTCTACCAAACGCCGCAGAGTGAACACATCTACCAGCAGAAGAACAAGATGCTCATGGAGGTCTACGGCTTCAGCGACTCTTTTGGCACTGCAGACTCCATGCAGGAGCTGGCCCCGCCACCCGCCTTGCCTCCCAAGCAGCGGCAGCTGGTAAGCAGCCCTCCCCATCTTGTTGCTGCCAAGGCTGACCAGAGCTTGTGATCCTAACAGGCCTCCAGGATCCAGGGGCAGGTTTGGCCTTCTTTGTCCTTGGCAGAGCTGGGGCTTGGGTGTTATGGGTGCCTTCACTTTCTCCAGAGACACTCCCAGCAGCCTGTCCCCCATGCTGCTGTCTCCTCACCCTGGGGCCTGTGGGCCTGTCTTTTCCAAAGCAGCCATGCAGCTGGGACAGGATTGTACCTAGAATGTTTGCTTTCTCTTCTGGCCGTCTCTTGTATTTCTCTTTCTTCTTTGGCTCTCACACAGACCTCCTAGAAAGAAGATCCTCAATCCCAGCACAGGGCGTGCTGGGACTCACCGTGTGGAATGACTTACATCGCAACCCTGGCCAGGGATGGCCCCAGGAGAACAAGCTCCACTGAGGCAGGGTGGCTTTAGACAGAGCCTCTGTGCTACAGACAGGGCCCCCATCCTCTGTGTAGGGAGGGACATGTGACTCAGGCCAAAGGCAGACCTGTCCCACCTGGGCAACCTCCACAGCCTGAGCACTCACCTAGTGGCAGACCAGCATGTCTGCCGGAGTCTCCAACTTTTTCTCTGTGCTTCCTGTGGACAAACCTGGTGGCCTGTCTCTAGCTTCAGGATCCGAGGCTCTGATCCAGCAGCACTGTACAGAAGAAAGGTCTCAGCATTTTTTGCTGTTTTGCTCTAATGCTGGCCAGACTGGTAGCTCTCTGACAAGAGAGAGGACAGGCATGGCAAGCTAGTCCATTTTCTGTCCAATGTGAGAGGATGTGAATGTACCACCCTGATGTTTCTAGGGGACCAACGCCCCCAAAGCTTACTTCTCATAGCTCCTGGGGCTCACTCTGGTCTCGGGAATTCTGAGCCATCCTACCCTCACTGGGCTGTAGATAACCAAGCAGGCTATTTGCTCCCTTCCAAAACGATAGCCAGTCTAGGCAGAGGCAGCCTTATCTGCAGATAAAGGGCTGAGCTTAGAGTTGGGAGCCCTGGGTTCCAGTCCTGCTACTGATAAGCCCTGCCGTGTGAACTGTGTTAGTCTCAGTTCTTCACCTGCCCTACCCACCCCACTAGACACACATGAATCTAAATTGCTCTTCAAATATCTCACGAAGGGATCTTCACTGTGGACAAAGATGTCTGGCCAAGGCACCCCTCACATGAAACGTTTGGTGGAAACCATTGCTGAGCCAGATCTCATTGAGGGATCCGTCTTCTATGGCCTGTGACCATCCTTGGGCATCTTCTCTGTACTGAGGAGTCCATGGCTCTGAGTATTTGGGGGCAGATTCCTCATGAGCATGTGGGATCAGACCTGTCTAAGGGATCGAGCCCTGGGCCCATTCCACCACTCTGCAGAGAGGTACAAGGTCAGCCCAGGAGAGGCCTATCAGGGACTCCATACTGATCACCTTCCCAGGTAGCCAGAGATCCTATCATGTTGTCCCACCTGACGTTACAATAACTCCTGCATCCCATCCTTGTTATAAGTAAACCAAGGCTGAGAACCAAGAGAACTTACACTCAGACTGCAAGCTAGTCAGAGATCTGGAAACCAAGCCTAACTCCAAAGCCCAGGTCCCCCACATGATAGGCCAAGCTTTTGGCCACCCTATCTGAATGCACATGTGGAGGGGTAGGCCCACATACAGTGGTATACAGAATTCCACTTGTTTTATATGAACTCTCCAGTTCCCATCCTCAAAGCCCTGCACAAAAGGGCTGCACGGAGTTTGCCCCATTTTATAGATTTTATAGATGGGGAGCCTGAGCACTGACAGCTTTAAGGAATTCCAAAAACCAACATGTGGACATTGGCAGGGTCCAGATGCAAACCCAGATTGAGCTCTGCTGAGGTGGGAATAACCATACAGGTCTGCTCTCCACAGAGGAGCTCAGAGCACAGAACCTGGGTCTGTGTGGCTCCTGCCTGCTTATCCTCCTCCAACCACAATCTGTCTGAAAGTTGACTTTTAAATCTATCACAGGGAAGAAAATCAGCATCCCTCTGTTCAGGCAGTCTGTGGCAGGTATTTCTGATCTCTGGATTCAGCCATGCAGCCAGCCCCCATCCCTTTCCAGAACATCCCTGAGTGGAATTAGGTATCCACTTCCTCACCCTTTGCCAACTGTGCTGACCGTTCTCTGCTTTCTCCCTTCTCCCTGCCTTCTCTCTCTCCCCTCTGCCCAGCAGGCCTCCTATGCTGCTTCCTCCTTCTCCTCTGTCTCCTACTGTGTCCAGCAAACTAAAGTGGCCTTCACCCCCGAGGACAGCAGTGCCACTCAGGGCCTCAGTGTGTCCGTGTCTAACTCCTTTCTCAGCCGGCATGGCAGCTTGCCTGTGCCCTCGGTGAGTGTTCCCTGCCGTTTTCTGTACTTGGAAATGCGTGAGCAGCTTACTCACTTGCATGCTGTGCCTCCTGGACATGGGAGCTGCTGCCCACCATTGGCCCTGCCCTCCTGCAGACTCTTGCACATCCACAGGAAAGGGTAGGAATGGTGGAATCTCTGGGCCTCGCAAATTGTAGTTTTCTGGGTGGATGGGGTAGGAGTAGGGTATGCATGGACCCGTTTGGAGCATCGTCTTTCTGGCATAAGGTGCAGACTGTTTTGGCCTTTATGGTCTGCCCTCCTGTGGGCCTGCAGTTGGCCTCCAAGTGTTCTTTGTTTAAGAGGGAACTTCTCACATAGGAAACAAGGAAAGGAGAGAGAGCAGTGTTACCAAGTGCATGACAGCTTGAGAGCCGTGTCAGTTAGCTTTTCCTGTGTAACCAACTGACCCAAAGGGTCATGGCTTAAAACAGTACCCACTTGTCATGGCTTAGGGCACAGTTTTAAGCACAAGGCTGATTGTGCTGATCTGGCCCAGGCTGCCAACTTTGGGACCTGAGCTGAGACAGTTGGGCTGATTTGTCTGTTACCTCCATTGAGCTAGTCCGGGCTTGTTCTTGTGGCAGCTGGCAGGTTTCCACTTGGACAAGTGCCAGGTGCCTTAAGGCCTAAGCTCAGAACTGACACAGTGTCACTTCATGGCAGCTGCCCGGTGAGGTCACAAGGCTGCTCATATTCGGGAGCAGGGACGGAGACCCTGTGCTGCTGTCACTTCGCTCAGGCCAAGAAGGGCCATGCCAGTCAATAGACAGTTTTCTTCTGAGGAAGCACAGCTTTTTGGAGTCTGCATTTGCCTGGAAGCCAAAGCAGCCATCATCCTCATGATCTGCACAGACAAAGCTCTGAGCAGCAGGGAGACAAACAGCCAAACACCTTGGCCTCCAGTGATTAACTTCCCCTCCCTGGACCTCAGTCTCTTTTTATTGGGATTGTACTTTTACCTGCTTTGCATTTGATTGACAGAATGAGGTAAAATCACATGAACTGGCCATGCATGTGGTGAACTTAGTGTATTGTTGCTGGTTCTGGTCTTGTTCTACTTCTCATTCTATACTTGAGTGGAGCAAATGGCTCAGTGATGAGCCTGGACTGGGTGACTTTAAAATTTGCCCAGGTTCCTGGTTTGGTGGCCATAATGACCAGATTGCAGTCCAATGTCCAGAGCCAAGATGGTGCTGTCTACAGTGAGGACTTTGCAAAGTATCCTCCTGGCTGGTTGGTGCTGGGCTTCACTCTTCAGAGCCATCAGCAACCTTGGGTGTGCTCCACAGGCTGACCACTGCCTTGCTGCCCTGGTTACCCAGTTGCCTTAAAGGTACCTCATGGTAGCTCTGTACTGTTTGCCATGTGCACAGTGAACAGGAAGTGTGAGCTATCCTGAGTTTTACAGTATCCCTTTGAGCAATTAGCAGTTAGAGGACTGTGAATGAACTGGGTTGTTTGCTACAAAATTAAATAAAATATTGAGGGCATTTAAATTGAGTTTGGGTATGAGAGCCTCACGGTTTTCAGCGCTGGGGCATGGGAAGACTAAAGGCATCTTGCATCTCTAACACTGTAGTCTCAGCTCCAGCTTCAGGAAGGAGCCCAAGGGGCTGAGCAAGATAGTGCTTCATTTCAGTAATGGCCTAAATGTTTGGAATATGTGACATCTGATGTGTTGAACACCAGAAGTGATTTAGTGTAATATCAGTTTATTCTTCCTGTAACATCTGGTTGAATTCTAAGATGAACCCAGACCTGAGGCTTTGACTTATGATCAGAGCAGCCCTTTATCATGAATTCCTTCCCTCCGTGTCCCCGGGTCTGGGTCATCAGTCCAGCATAGGATTTGAGGAGCTCTTGGGAGTGCAAGAGTTGTCCAAGCTAAAGACACCTCACACAGCAGTCTGTTGCTTCTGCTTAAAGATTCTAACCATTGCAGACCCCTTGCCACAGGAATTTGTAGAGGAATAAACCTCCATTTGGCACTGTAAACTGAAGTGGGTGCTGAAGAAGTATTCCTAGTGACTCTTCCTAGTATCCCAGGGATGACTTTGATTCAATAAGCATGGGACCCCTCCTATGTGTGGGGGGGCCAGTTCCAAAAGGGAGGAAGATGAACGGTCGGTCTTGCCTGAGAGTGGCTCACAGTTCAGTAGGCAGAATGAGTTGGGTTAAGCTAAGTAGTGAGTAATGGCGGGGGAGTTGCATGGTGGGGGTGGAGGTAAAGCTTTAGCTGTCAAAGATGATTCAAGCCCAGAGCCTTGCCTTGGGATGGAGGTCAGGAAACTCAAAGTCTATTCTAGAGGATTATCTGGAATAGAAGTACCTATGAATCAATCAAGGTCCCAGGAGAGATGTCTGAAGGGCAATGACAATAGCCATCCCTACCTCTATCTTCTAAGGACCTCCGTCCTGAAAGCCAGGTGCCCCACCTCATGTGCTACCTGCTTGCTGAGCTTCTCCTTCACTCCTCAGGTTTCACCCCAAGCCTGGGAGTTGGTCCCCATGTGCTCCTGGGCAGCATCTGTCCTCTTTGCAGCCTGCAGCCCCATCTGCTATGATAGCAGGTGATACTGTACTCAGTGGGGACAATCTTGCAGTCTTCATCATCCTGGGAGACTTGAATAGTGTCCTGAATGAACATCCAGACCCTAACTCGTGTCCTCAGAAACATTAAAGGCAGCTTGATAAGGAAAGGTGTTGGGAGAGTGAGGAGACAGGAACACAGGGAAGCTGGGCACTGAGACCCTGGAGGTGGCCCATCTCTCGTGATTGTTGGCCTGGCCATGGGCCTGCCTTGTAGTGCCTGAGAAGTAGCCTTACCATCTGCCACCAGCATCTTGCAGCTGAGCTTTCTAGTGTCAGATCGTTCCATCTGTCCTGGATGCTCCCTCCATGGCTTTCTGGGCCCTGCAGCCCCCTGGGCTGCCTAGTGTATCCTCTTATGGCCCAGCCTGTAGGGCTGCCTGCTGTATCCTCCCTCCCTGGGCCTGCCCCCTTCACACATTCATGTCTCAGCCATCTCCTTGGCATGTCCCTTCTGTCTCCTGAACTCTGTTAATGCAAATTTTGAACGTTTTGAGTTTGGTTCATATTCACATTGCCCTTGACCATGGGAGCATTGAGACATTCTCAGTGACCAAAAGGTGACCAGTGCCCTCTAGGTTTTGCAGTGCTGGTATTAGGAAAAGTGTCTTCCTCCTTCCCCTAGACTGTCTTTTGTGCCTCTTTTCTCTGCTAGCAGAAAGTTATGAATGTAACCACCACCAAGAGACCTGCTGGGATGCCAGAGATCTGTTGACATAGTTCTTTTCCAGAATGATTCTGGATAAGTAAAACTGCCAGAAGATCCTGTTTTGAGAGATTATATCAATAGCCATAGTAACTGTCATGTTTTTAAAAAGTCTTTGGGGTAAGAAAGTCAAGTATGTCATCATGGACCCCAGTTTGTTTGTTTTTAAAGGGCTGTAGAGTAGCTGGTATCTTGTTCTGGGCTGACAGTTACTTTTCTGAAAAGATGGACCCAGGTTTTTGTGCATCCACATGTGCTCATCACAAAGGCCTGAGCCTCCTGAGACCCTTGATTACAATGTCATGGCTGTCCCCTCACTGTAAAGCAGCCAGGGCTACCTCCCAAAATGCAGAGCAGACTCCTATGTTCCACCAGTGCATCTGCATCTCTTGCTGTCTCCCCATCCCCTAGCCTCTCATGGTCATAAACCAACCCTGAGAACTCACCCAACAGCCATCTCAGACACCCTGGGTCCACTGCCTTTCTAAAAGCCAGACAAAAAAGTAGAAGATAAGAAAAAAGAGAACAGATAGAGTGATGGAGTGGGGCAAGAAAAGGGGATGGCCCATGAAGGGGAGTGAAGACAGGCCCCTGGGGCCCTTTGGTTGCTGGTGCCTTTCTGCCTGGTAGAAAAATAACTTCCAACCATCCTTTCATTTGTCCCTTCCTGATGTCAGCTCATCTTTGTTGGCTTCCTATCCTGAGCAAGAGCTAAATCACAGTGGGAACATAATGTCTGTGGGCACAGAACAAAGTGTCCAGGGGCCGGAAGCCTCCTCCCTCCCATGGTATTATTTCCCAGGTCTGCCTGACTTTCCTGGGTTTCCCTGGAGGGTCCCCGGGCATCAGGGATCCCCCTGGGGAAAGGAGGAATCTGTTGTGTGAAAGCATCTGTGGGCTCCATCTCCCTGGCCTGGAAGAGTGTGCACATTTCATGGTGCCTTCCCTCCTTGTACTTGGAGGCTTGCAGCACAGTGCTCATTCTCTCCTGTCTGCCCAGCTGTCTCTTCTCCCAACCTACTATTCACTGTGCACTGAGCTGCCCAAGTAGAAAGCAGAAATGTCATCTTGTCCCCCTTCACATTCAGACTCACCATGTGTGCACCATATTCAAATTAAAACAGTGCCCAGGTCTTGCTGATGCTGCAAAGCCATTCAAGTTGAGCTCATCCACTCCTCCCACCCACCACCACGCCCTTGCCCTGCTCCCCCTTCATCCCACCTGGATGGCCACTGAGGTGAGGCCTCCTTGCAGGCCTTCCTGCCTCTGTGGTCAGATACTCCCTGTCCCTGACAGGGAGTAGTACAGACAGACTGCAGTACTACCCGTCTCACAGCACCAGAGCCAGCACTCACATGGTCTTCTGAGGCCTTAGCTGGCTACTTCTGCCCACTCTCCACAAGTCCATTCCTGGCACCCCCTCCATCCTTTTTGCACAGACTCTTCCTCACTCCCACATGTTCTTGCTTTTTTGCCTTTTTCTGCCTTCCACCTTCTCCATGTCCTCTGAACCTCCCCAGACCCCCAACCCCAACCCCTTGTTTCCTCCTTACTTGCAGTGTAAACCTGAATATGCCACCCAACTCACTGAGCCTCTGTTTCCTCACCTGCCCAATGGGGCATGAGGCAATTGTGAGAGTGTGTGAGAGAGCTCATTTAGTATGGTCATGTTTGTTATTATGTTGGGTAGGGTGTTCTTTTGCTCACGATCACAAGTCCTCTGAGAATAGGGAGCTGCTCAGTGCACCAGCCAGTGAGTAGCAGGAGAATCACAGCGAGAATACCTGAAGGCAGGGAGTAGTGGCCTCAGGCCTTGAACTCTCTTTCTCTGTCCCACCACTGTGTCCTTTCCCTACCCCTGATATTTCCAGAGCAATTGATGCTGACTCATCACTACAGCCTCCCATTCTATAAGACAGACACATTAGTCCCAGGCAGTAGCTGAGAGCCTGTTTTCTTCCTCATTTCCTTCTCTGCTAACCCAAGAGGCTCTGGCTTTGAGGCAGTTCTAGTCTGTTGGGCCCTTAAAATAAGCTCTGGCTCCTATGATATATTCATCTTGTGCTTTTCTGCCCTTCCTAAAAGACCCAGGCCGCTGCATACCAGTGCTGCCTCCAAGTGTACAGTCGTCCAGACTCAACCCTGTTCCCACCTTGTTTGAGCTACCTGGAAGGATGTATCTGCGGGCCAGCATCCCTCCCTTATTGCTACCCCTCCAGGAAAATGAAGACCCTCATTTGTATGATGTCCCAGCAGTGGAGGGGGCGGGACCAGCTGAGCTCAGGATGTACCTACTTCACCCTGCTGGGGACAGCAAGGAGCATGTCAGAGAGCCAGGCCCAACATACCAGCAGAGCTTATTTCCCAGCAGCACCTGTGACTCAGATGCCTCTGTTGCTTCTAGACTTCCTGGCATTTGGCAGGTCAAGGCTCTTGGACCACCTCAGGCACAGGAACACAGCTGTAGTACCTTTCTGCAGCTGTGCCTCTGACTCCACAATGACAAAAGTGGTCAAGTATTAAAGGACCTTGTTCCCAGGAAAGTCATGTGATGACATGAATCCTAAGGACTGCTCCATGCACAGTGGATATTGGCTTTCCTTCTGTGTCATGCTACCTGTCCCTTGTCCAGGGCCATCCTTGCAACTCTGTGATAACAGAGTGCCCATCCCCTGTCATTTTTCACACCAGGATTAACATGGAGAGAAAAGTGGCATTGGGACAGCATCAGGTGGTTTCACCTTTAATGAGTTGTCCACAAGCTAACAGAATGCTGTCCATCAGCCTCCACCATTTTTTGCTCCAAAACCTGCCTGGCTTCTCCAGGCATACTCAGAAGAGCCTGTTGTTGCTTCTGTCTTCTATCTGTCCTGGGACACTTGGTCAACGCACTCACTGCTGGCTCCATCCCTGGCTCATGTCACACCCAGGTCACTGCCCTTTGCATGCCAGCGTCAAGAGCACTCAGCTTAGGAGACCTCTGAACCATCAGTAGGCTGTTCCTTGCAGAGCTGTGAGATCACAGCTGAGGGCCCATCACAGCCAGAACTTGCCAGTGTCTCAGAACACACAAACTGAGTGTGACATAGGCCACCCCATGCCACCTCTCACCAGCTTTGTGTCATTAGGCACATGTCCTCAGTTTCTTCATTACTAAAAGGATCACAACAGCATTTTCTATAGGTTAAATAGATGACCCATGTGTTCTGGTCTTCAGATGGTCCTTCCTGGCATTTTGGCTGATTATATAACCAGGGCTGACATTTGGGACCAGGCAGCCCTCTCCTAACTGCTTGCTAATTCTGGCACCCCGAAATCTCTTGCAGAAGTGTGTCCTGCATGTTGTACACGCCTCAGCCCAAACAGTTTCAATCTAGCTATAAATAAAAATTCCTGCTACACTCTGCAGCTCATCAGAAGCAAAGCTGGGCATTTGCCAAGTCCTAAAATAGACTCTGGGCTGTGGCCGGCCTGCAGAATGGCCAGTGCTGCCCTTCTCTCTGCCCTGGGATGAGTATCACTCTAAAGGACCTAGAGGTGCATCTCCAGAGAATTGATAGAAACTGGGACTTGTTAAATCCTGATCTCCAGCAGTTTCTGGTATCTGTAGAGCGCAGAGGGGCAGAGGACATTGTGATGGGAGAGCCTTCCCTGGCATCCCCCACCTTCCTGAAAGCAAGCTTGGCTCCTGTCCCAGCATGACCGCATAGCTGGAATACCAGAGCTGGGCTAGGAGCAGAGAAGAAAAGGAGGGAGGGCCTGGCCCCTTTGTCCCAGAGATGTGGACTCTGACAGGCTTTTCCTTCCTCCTTGGTGACAGTGAAGCTTGCCTCTCACCCAGCCACACTCACAGCTAAGATGCTGCTATGGGTCAGGCACTGGTCTAGGCACTTAAGTTAATAGAACCAGAGACAAGCACCTGGTGCACACCTGTGGTCCTAGCTACATGGGAGGTTGAGGCTGGAAGATTACAGCTTCAAACCCAGTCTGGGCAACATAGCAAGGGACCTCATCTCAAAAAAAAAAGATGATAGGCTGGATGCAGCGGCTCACACCTGTGGTCACAGCTACTCAGGTGGACTATCATCACAGCTATGCAGGAAGCAGTTCAGGCTATCCTGGACGAAAATGCAATACCCTACTTGAAAAATGACTAAAGCTAAAAATAACTGGGGGTGTGGCTCAAGTGGTAGAGTGTCTGCCTAGCAAGGGCAAGGCTGAGTTCAAACCAAAAAATGATGATGATGATGATGATGATGATGATGATAAAATCTGTTACTAAGTGTTTGTTTATCCAGCAAATATGTGTTGGGTTCCTGTGAGACATCTCAACCTGGTATTTAGAGTGGCTGCTACACTGTGTTGGAGTGCAGGAAAGGACATCTGGCACTGATGGAAGAGGGCTTGTCACACCAGTCATGCTGAGGACTCATAGGACATTTTTTCACTGAATGGCCACAGTTGTCCTCTGAGAGAAATGCTGTCATTCTTATCCCTGTTTTAAAGATGAAGAGACAGGCTCAAGAACTTGCCCAAGGTCATAGATGGAAAGATAAGGGATCCAGCCATGTCTAGGTGACTTGAGAACTCACACTCAGCCACACCCTATACCTTCTCCCAAAAGAGGCTCCCATGGAGACACGTAACTAATCACGTAACCTGTGATTAGCTAGGAAGCTACCTCCCAAATGGGACATATTTGTGATTACACAGAGGCCATTGTGTACATGTGAGTCGGGTGTTCTGTGACTGCTGGATGCACTACGTGCTATATGGAGGAGTTACAGAGTCATGAGGGTAGGCCTCAGGAAGAGTTGGCATTGAAGGTGAATCTTCCTGTGCTAGTTTCAGCAGGCAGGTGGATTTATGAGCCAGGCTGAGTTTGGGGAGGGAGCAGCTGACAAAGCTGAGAATCTGGCTTTTTCAAGAGGCTGAAGCTACTGCCTGAGACAGTCTTGTTGGGTTCCCCAAAAGCAGCCTTTTGGCACCATGCTACCCCTCCCCCAGTCATTATGGGGTGGGTATCCTCCAGAGGTGAGAAGGAAGCCCAACCCTTCCCTCCACTGGCACTCAGAAGGCTGAGAGTCTCCGGGCCTGCAGCCTCAGCTCTGATAGCTTCAAAGGTTCAGGGACTGACACCCGTATGGCTCAGGGTGAGGGCCCAGCTGGGTGCCAAGCCACTCAGGGCCTCTGCTCCCCCAGTTTCTCCAGATGTGGAAGGATGTGGCTGGAACTTCCAGGTGTCTAAGGGTTCAGTGTTCGTTGGTCAGAACTTGTATAGCGCTCCCACCAGTTTGTCTGATAGCAGCCACAGTCCAGCCTTAGTAGTGAGCTAGGTGGACTAAAATGAGTAAGAAATAGTAAGTCTGATATAAATCAACAGCCACTGAAGCTCAAAGGGTGAGAGGGCCTTGGCCTCACCGAGGAGGAGCAAAGAACTTCAGTCTAATCAGTGCAACCGCCCAGGGGTGGGGCTGTCCACATAGGTGGGCAGAGGAGGGATGGCCCCATCCCTGAGGTTGCAGCAGCTTTGTCCAGCTTCACGGAAATGTTTAAGGAAATGAGCAGCATTGCCCTCAGTTTAAAATTCTGTGTCTTCCTTTTCCTTAGTTCGGTGGGTTTGGATTATCATGTACACCTCTGTGGTAGGCACATGAGCCTAGCAGGAACTCTCCAGATCCTGTGATGGTCCCCCCCAGGGGTGACAGATCCTCAGCTTGGTGGCCAGAGCGCTGGCCTGGGGAGTGTTCCTTGGACCTAATTATCTATTGACACTTCTCAGTTTCTGTCTGATGAGAATTTGGGGGAGTGTTGCCTTGTGGATTTGGGGTAACATAAGAAGTGCTGTAAAATCACTGCATTTGTTTTAAATAAAGTGCAAAGAAAGAAAAACAACATTGAGTAGGAAGGGAAGTGAGCTCCTAGAAATTGTTAGTGTTTTGATAGCAAATTCTTCCAACCTTTTAAAAGCTATTCCCTCCCTTTCTAAAAAAGTTTAAGTTGGGTTACAATATTTAAAAGATTGCAGTGCTTATCTCTTAAGGGATAAGACAAGAGTCATCCAAAAGATTCCCAATGACCTAATTTGTCTGCAACATTGGATTTAGTCCTAAGGTCCCTGAGAGGACACAAAGGCATATGCCAGGTCGTGTACATTCCATTTCCACCACAGAGAAAAATGTAGTCACCCACATTATGAGTGGGATTTGCTATCCTTGGGCACCAGGAGGCTGCTTTTTCACGTCCTACTGTTCAGATGTATAGGACAATGCTGCTTGGTCTCCATCCTCCAGGCTCCCCTCTCGGAGCTGTGCCAGGTGTGGGGACCAAGGGAGGTTGGCATGGCCAGCAGTCCGTAGTTAGGATAGTTACGGTGCCCATCTGTGCTCAGCCACGGCTAATCTAACCACCTTTTCTCTTGTCTGTTTTCTCCTTCCCACATTCTTGTTTTTGTGTGTTTTCCACCTTGATTTTGTAGTACAAATCTGTGTTTAGGTCCTACTCCCAGGACTTCGTGCCTCACCACCAAGCTTCCGTCCAACCTTTCCTTCCGTCTACCTCCTCTTCCTCTCCACATTTCCCACCTGTTCACCCGTCTCCAAGCTCGGACTTAGTGGTGCCCACCACAGCCAGTCCGCCTCCCAGCACCGTGGACGGGCCTCTTTCATCTTCTCAGGAGAGCAGCTTTCATGGGAGCCCTATCTGCCTTCCTTCTGAAACCTCTTTCACTGACTCGGTGAGAACTCACACATTCACACGCATCACATGGTTTTAAAAAGCGGCATCACTGGGTCACCAAAAGCCTTATCTTCTTTCCATCAGCTGTCTGGTCTGCTGCTGAAGTAGGCCCATTTACAGCTCAGCAGGCCACAGATACAATAGTAGCCCATCTGTTTCCAGAACAGAAATTGAATCTTTTACACAGAATTCCCATCAAACTAGGAATCTGATTTTCCACAACTGGGCTGGTGATCATTTAGACAGTAAGTTGTCGTAAGGACAAGATAGAAAATGCTCTTAGCTTTCTGTTGGCTATTTGTGGGAAAAGGTCCAGACCCTCATGGAATGTGGAAGTGACAGATGCAAGGTAGCTGCCTGCTCTTCCTGCCTGTGCTGCCCAGGCAAAGGCTGCTTTCCTGTCCTGTGCAATGGCCCCTGGTGCTTCTCCCAGGCCCAGGGAGAAGCTAGAAAGGGCCAGCAGATGGGGACACTCTCCAGCATGTTGAGTTGTTCTGGTATGTTACTTTTCTCTGACCACACCAGGGATTCCCATAGTCCCCACAACTACTGGGCTGCTGGGACGGTTTCCAGAATGGCCCATGACACCTTCTGAGAAGGTCTAGCAGGAAGTTTGGGGCCCTGCTAGTCCCGAGGCAAGAGTCAGCAAAAGCAACCTTGACCTCTGACCCTAGGGAAGCACTTCCCAGAAAGAGTGAGCACAGCCCTCACACCCTTTCTTCTTTGTGAAAGGAGTGTCCTGGTCCAGGCCAGCCCTGCTTACTGGCCTCTCTGAGCTCCAAGGGCTGGCTAGATAGAGGGCCTGGCGTATTGTCTTTCCTCTCATCCTGTCTTCCTCCCAGAGTGAAAACGCCAGTGAGGAAGCTGGTGAGGGTAAATACGTCAATCTGTATTCCTCTGGCCAGAGCAACGAGGAACTGGCCCCCACTCGAGGAGTAAGTAACCTCGGGTGGTGGCCGTGTGCATGTGGCCTGGCCTGGTAGGGCTGGGCCTCTGCTCCCTGAGGCCGCTTCTCTTGCACCTGCTTCTGTTGGCTGAGCCTCTCCAGGTCACTGGCAGGCTGAGCCCCGCAGGCCTGTCAGCCTCAGCCCAGTGGGAGAGGGCACAGCTTCTAGGTGGAGATCTGCCCTTGCTTCAGTGGATGTGGTGCTTTTCAGAACCTGGCCTGATGGGTCTTCTAGAAATCTCCAGGAGCCACCTGATGGTGGGCCCTGCCACAGATCAGCCTGCCATCTGTGGGATTTCTTTCCATCCCCACCTTCTAGTGCTAAACTCATTCCATCCCTCCTAGAGAGCTGCTCCTCCCACTCCCCATCCTTTTCCTCCCAGCATGCCCCTCACTCCTCTCAGCTGCTCCTGGGGAGGCTGGGTGAGTCTCGGGGAAGCCCTACGGGTATCCATGCTCCTCCCTCCTTAAGAATACAGGATCCTCGCCATCGTCACCTTGTTAAGTTGTTGCCCCAGCTCATGATGTCAAGGTGCCAGAGTTCTGTTGAGCAGTAGAGCAGTCAGCTTTCCACGTTTGACTTCAGCAAAGCACAAGCAAGTTAAGAGGCCTCTGAGGCCACTGTCCCCATAAGCCTGAGTGGGACAATCTCCTCCAGGGGAGGATAGGTCCCCGAGGACTGGAGCCCTCCCAGGAGATCTTCCCATGGGCAAGTCCAGCCCCGAGCAGCACAGTGAGTCCCTTGAGGTGATCCTACTGTGGAACTCTGGGGGTTTGAGATGGCCACAACAAGGCAGACCTCCCTTCATGTATCACAGAATTCTGAGGAATTTTTGCCCCGGTAGGATATGACCCTGCCTGTAGGAGCTGAGGTGGTGTCCCCACCCTTTTCTCCTCTCTGGTCACATACCAGCATCATCCAGTTCAGACTGAATGGGGAGTCCATGGCCTCCTTCTGCTAGTGGTCCTTACAGTGCTGACTGTACCTCACACAGCCCAGTTCCTCCCTGGCAACCCAGGGACCTTGGAGGGCCACTGAATAGGGCAGTGGCAGGTGTGCTGGGGCGGTTCATACTCATGTTTGAGCAGCTGGACCATTTGGGAACTGTCAGTGATTGAGAATTAGAACTTATTTTAACTCGGAGTCCACAAAGTTTTGCTGCACAATGGTAAGGCCCACTGGCTAAGGACACAGGCTGGAGAGAGCCCACAGGTTCAGATCCAGGCTCTGCCATTCACGAGCTGTGCAGGCTCTCGGGAAGCCCTTGACCCCTAGCCTCTGTTTCCATGTGGGAGTGATGGTGGTGTTAGCTTGTTGTTAAGGGCAAAGAGAGCTATGCAGGAGCCCTTGGTCCAGGGCCCACTGAACTCTGAGAGGGGCTTCTGGGACAGTCTTTCTTCAGAAGTGATTGGGTGGCAGGCTGGCAGCTGACAGAAGCTACAAAGAGTGTCACCTCCATTCTCGCCAAGGGCAGGAGGCTAGTCTCCCGAGGGTTTGTATTTTCTGTAATGACCACATTATCCCACTGTTCCTGCCTGAGACTGTTCTGTAAGCACCTGCACTCCACAGCTGCTTGCAGTCAGGAGCGTTGGGAAGATACCACCCCGCTTGGGCTACCTGTTGAAAACTCATTACTCCCTCTCTTTGCAGGAACCATCAACTGGGAAAGATGGAAATCCCAGAGATCCCTCAGCTGGCAGCAGCATACCTGGGAAGGACAGCCGAGAAGGTGGAGAGAGGTAGGAAGTGAACGGGGAGTAGCTGGTCTTGAGAGCGTGTTGGCTTATTAAGGCCTGCCTGAGTCCCCACAGCCAGTCCACTAGGACTGCTTCTGTTTCTGTTAAGGATCTTTGTTCTTCTGGTTTTTTAGTTGTTGTTGTTGGTTTTTTTGGGGGGGGTTGTTTTTGTGGTCTGGGGTTTGAACTCAGGGCTTCATGCTTTCTAGGCAGGTGCCCTACCACTTGAACCACATCTCCAGCCCTTTCCTCTTCTGATTCTCACGTAATACATGCTCAGAAACTGCAGGAAAACTGAAAGATCACTAGTAACCCAGCCTTCAAACGCCCTCAGCACAGAGTCTGCCGGTCCTTCCCAATCACACCTGTATTGCCCGCCATTGAAATCACCCACATTAGTCCCAAAAGTTCATTCTCAAAACGCAGGCCATCTTCCTCAGTGATTGCCTCCAACTTGAGGTACCCTGGAGTATAAAAGACGCTCCACCCCCTGCCTCCCACACACTTGTCGCACATAGATGTTTTCTAGATGTGTAAATGCTGTGCTGCTAAACCATGTTGAAGATCTTGTGACCCTGAGCCCACAAACATGCCAGCATGCTGGGCTGGCAGAGTGGCTCAAGTGGTAGAGCACCTGCCTAGCAAGTGTCAGGCCCTAAGTTCAAATCCCACTATCTCAAAAAAGGTGCCAGCATGTGCTTCCTAACAAATAAAAATCCTGATTATAATACCATTATCTCACCTAAGAGAGTCAGTAGTAAATTCCCTTATGTCATCTGACAGGCAACCACATTCTGATTCCCCTATTCTCCCAAAAAATGTCTTGTATGTCTTAGTTTTTTATAACCCAAATCCATCGAGTCAAGGAGTGGGACTAGAGTGTGGCTCAGTGGTAGAGCACCTGCTTTGTAAGCACAAAGTCCTGAGTTCCAGCCCTAGTGCCAGCAAAAAAAAAGAGTCCAGGAGTGCATTGAGTTGTTACTTCTTTACTCGCGTGTTAACGTTTTCAGGGTTAGCACAAGTCAAACCTGCCCCAGGCTTGGAGATGCATACTTACAGAGGGCGTGACAGAGCTGCCAGCGGGCATCCCCTGCAGTTGTATGTTGGTGTCACCTTCATATGAGATGTTCTACCTGTTCAAGCCTTTCTTCCCCCTTCAAGTCAAGGGCCAGCCTCCTCTGAGGCCCTGGATGATCTTGTAGAGCAAAGCGGGGCCCACTGGTCATTGTCCGGCCTCAGTATGAGCAAGTGAAGAGGCTGTAAACGATGCCAAGAGAAAGAGATCTGAGAAAGCAGCTCTGTCACCTGCTGAAAAGCCACCTGACCAGCCTGCCTTGTGGGTACTGTAGGGCACTGTCCTCATGAAGTCTGTCTGGTTATTGTCCCCAGATGCAAGGTCCCCAAGGAATGCTAGATTTTTTAATCTGACACCTACCAGCAGAGGTCTGTGTGTGTCAAGCAAAAGCAGCTGTGGGTTCTGTCACCTGCTTCACTGGACCCCAAGTGTCATTTTCAAAGTTCAGATGGTTCTTGTGAAAGAGCTGGAAGATGAGCGTGGTGACAGTCAGAAAGTCACTAAGATGTGTTCATTCCACAAAGGCCATGGTCAGGCTGGACATTGCTGCAGCCTCAGCAGAGTGGCTCTTCCCAGGCCCTGGAGCATTTGCTTGGGCCCATTGGTTCTCCCTAAAGGCACATATTTTTAGCTCTCAGGTAATTAGTGTTAAAAATGTAATCTGTGATCACAAAGCCAACGAGTGCCTCATAGGAACGTAGCAGTGCTGAATGTGTGAGAAAGCACTGTGGGCAGCCAGCTATCTGTAGACCCACTTCTGCCCTTCCCAGCTGCCCTTAGCTGTTCTCCCTCCCCGTCCTTTGGCTTCTCAGTACTTAAAGCCTTGGCCTATCAGTCCCTCCCAGGGCCCTTCCCCAACCTCAAGTCAAGCCCCTCGCTCACACTCCTCACACCTTCTGTGCTTTCCATCTTGTGACTACTACTATTGTGACTACTTTTTTTAAACACTGAGCTCCTGGGGACAGTGGACATGTCTGCTTGATCACAGCTCTTATTGCTGAGCAAAGGGTTCAACAGAGGTTTGACCATCAGAGGGACTTGGAGCATGACCCCAAGCAGTGCTTTCTGCTACCCTGCTCGCCCTTTTCCCTGAATGCTGATGTATCTGGTGGGGCTGGATACAGCATGACTGAAACCATTACTCACACCAGTAGCCCAGCAGATCCTTTCCAGTCTCCAGCTTAGCTCCTTCCATTTGCAGATGAGAATCCAGAAAAAGTACAGGAAATGTCCCCTAGCCATACAGCTGATCAATAGCAGAGCTAGGAGTCTAGTCCATGTCCTGGCCCTGCCCACCACTCTGGCTTCCTAGTGTAGCTGCGGGGTGAACTTGTCTGGAAGTAGTTGTAATGCCATGCACTGCCTTGGCCTCTGGGTATCAGGATACCTGGGGCCTGTTTGATGCTTACACCACCAACCACTTCTCCCTCCAGGGCCCCAAAGTCACCAGATGCTCTGGAGTTGGCTCAGTCAGAAGAGGAAGTGGATGAGCTGTCTCTCATTGACCACAATGAAATTATGGCCAGACTGACACTCAAGCAAGAGGTGAGGACTCCACAGGTCTAGAGTTTATATTAGTTCCACACAGGGAGAGTGAGTGGGATTGAAGAGAGTGTGACTTGGGGTGTTCCTAGAAGAAAGATCACAGCATGGACCCTGGGGCTCTCAGGCTCTTGACAGGGATGGGTTCCAGGAAAAAGTGTGCTATTCCCTTTCTTGCTGCTTCTAGAAAGTGGTCTTGGGTCTTGCAATGCCTCCCTAAGCCCCTGTGACAGCACTTCCAGGGGTGCAGTGAGTAAGGTTTGCAGGAAGCCCATAGCCACACATGAGACATCATTCAGCCTCTGCATATTAAGAAAACTCAGGCCTAGACTCCGTGGCTGCCTCTGAGCTGTGCTTTGTCTGCAGAGCCCTGCTGGTTAAAACAACACGCAGGCCTGTCACCATAGAGGAGGAAGCTGGGCCCAGAGAGTCCCACCTCTCCCTTCTGCCATGCCCTTCTGGAAATATGGAGGGTTGGCTTCATGAGCAGCCTTGACTCCCTGAGGAGCTGCCATGTGCAGTTTTGCAATCTGATGACTGTTACACCCAGACACAGGACAAGAAGTTAGCCTGCATAGTTCCACCAAGATGTTATTTATGCCTTATGCCATTAGGCAGCAGGCAGGTTGGTGGGGTTGTTGCTCAGAAAGCTGGGACTTTCTGCAGAGACTGTGACAAGTGCTAAATTTCTTCCCAAAAATCAGGTTATGGACATAGCTACTCCAGTCCCTACTGGGAAACCCAGAACACACTCAGGACTCTGGAGTCAGGGTAAAAACACCAAAGCCCTGAGAGGGCTCAAAGGCAGAAGGCGTCATAGTGTGTTGGTTCTATCTCCTGCAGGGCTACAGAGCTTGAGGCTGGTGATGTTGGGACTGGCTTCGCTTCCTGGCTCCACTGGAGCTCTTCTTGGCTCTAGGCCAAGTGGTTGAAGCCTATTTGCCCCAGGGAAATGATGCTGGCATACAGGATTCGATGGTCACATAGGTAGCATCAGATGTCATTGAACATTTTTGTGAAACTTTTTGCTCCTTGACATGGGATTCCCTAGAAGAACCTGTGGTGTGTACCACTACAGATGGCTCTACTTCCACCTGGAGGAATGGACTTAGATGTAGGGCAGCTCGCCACAGTTCTGGGAACATGACCATGCTTGAAAATTGTCCCGGTGCCTTCACAGGCTTCTTGGGGGTGGCTGGGGTGCCTGCCTGCCTCCTCTGGAACCCCACAGTTCAGGGTAAAGATGCCCACCTGGTCTCTGGTCAGTGGATCTGTGAGCCAGGGGTGGGGTGTTATGATACCATCTTTCCCTGAAGGTAATGTGCTCTGGTGCCCAGTGTCTGGGTAGCTCCAGGGCATCCAGTTTCCTGGCAGGTTCCAACCTAGGCCAGTCTCCCAAGCAGACTGAGCCAGAGGCTCACCTGGCTAAGGAGAGCAAATTGAGGAGAACTTGGGGTCCCTGCAGCACAGTGTCTGTCACCTCAGCCCTACCTCATTCCCTTCTTTGCTGTTTTCACTCCAGGGAGATGATGGGCCAGATGTGCGCGGAGGGTCAGGGGACATCTTACTGGTCCATGCTACTGAGACAGATAGAAAAGGTAAGGCAGCCCACAGCAGCCTTGCATCCTGCCACAGATGTCTCATGGCCTCACTGTGCTGCCATCTCCTCTTGGCAGCCACCCTGAGCCGGTCTGAATTGCATGCCTGTTGCCAGTGGGTCAGAGTGGGGAAAGTGACCTCTGGAGATGGTGACCCTGTTTGAAGCCAGCCCACTGAGTGTGTCCTCCCTCACTGTAGGGTGGTGATGCCCCCAGTCCTTATGCGGACAGCCCTTGGACAGGACAGTCACTGACAGTTTGTATACACTCCCCAGAGTCTTGATATCCTAAGTGAACCAATTTTGTTTTTATAAACAACCCCATTGCTGTGTTTCCACGGATTTCCTCAAGTGTATTCCACAGAATGATCTGGGAATTTCTGAATTATGCAAAATGTTTACCTGGCAGAAAACTTGAAAAACAGGAAGGAAGAAATGACTTGCACAAACTCACCTCTCCCATGTTTCTCCTGGCCAGGGTGCCACCCAGTCCTGGACACTTGGAGTCCAAGTCCACCATAGGTTCAGTGTTCATGCAGTCCTTCCCTCCTGGGCCTCAGCTGGCAGTGTGTGGGGTCACTAATGCGGGCGGTGCTCATCGGACATCAGCATCACCTCAAGCATGGACTTGCTTGGCTTTTCCACAGTCCATTCTCCTCTGGTCTCACCCTTGTAGGGTGACTCCCCCATCCTGCCATCTGTGGCCAGGCCAGAAGGCACTGCAGGCAGAGATCCTAGAGCTTTCTGGCCTGTGCCCACTGACCTGTTGAGAGGTAGATAGCTCAGCTGGAGCTTCCGCCTCATTTCTTGTAGTGGAATGATTGGGAAACCCTGTAGACCCAGGGTTGTTTGTGCCTGGGACAGAGGCTATGGGCCACTCTAGAAAGGACAGGTGGTCTCCTGCACTAGTAGCATTGATGACTTCAGAGGCTGTGTGGTTCAGAGACGTTGGGACCCCATGCCAAGAAGGGCTCAGTTGGGGAGGAGGCAGGCAAGGAGGCACTTGTCTCCACATGGCTCTTCTCAGGTGATGCTTGTCAGAGCTGCATGGGCGAGTGTGGTCTTAGACCTGAATCCTGCCACTTCCTCAGGAACCATGTGTGCCAGGCCTCTCATTCCTCAGGAGGACACTAGGGTCCACCCTGGTCAGAAGAAACATGGGAGAGGACAAAGGGTTCTTAACAAAAAAAGCCATGCAAACATGGCTCCCACCCAGAAACCAGGTGACACCCCATTTACCACAGCCCTAGGCCAGCAAATGGCTAAGAGCTGTGGGGTCCACATGTGGGGAGCGGATCATGAGAAGCCTATGAGAATTTGACATAAGTACAGCTGTGCCCAATAATTGGCAGGGTGAGTTTGGCATAGCCCCAGCCTCAGAAGAGAGCAAAGTGCAAAATGCAGCACAGCTGCTTTTCCTAAGCTGTTTACATTCAGAGAAGTAGAGAGGAGGTTTCTCTTGTTACAATATCGCCCCCCCCCCACAACTGTTGCTCCCTACCACTAGAGGGAAGGGGATTGATGGGTTTTTATTGGTGGGCTGCTTGCTGAATGGCATAGCTGACTGCTGCTGCTGCTGCTGAGTTATATGAGAGATTAAAGGGAACATGGGTCAGTGCAAGTCTGCACCGAGAACTTTATACATAGGCTTTAGAAAAGCTAAGCTAAAGAAAAGCTAAAGAGAACATGGGACAGTGCAAGTCTGAGCACCGAGCCTTTAAGAGTTATGCGAATGCAGTTTTTAGATGCACTACTGTTGTCTGCAAGTCTGAACACCAAAACTTTAAGAAAGCTAAAGAGAAAACATGGGACAGAGCAAGTCTAAGGAAAGAGACTTTAAAGAATAGAAAAGAAGCAAGGTTTTAAAGAAAGACTTTAGAAGTAAGGCCTTAAAGAATAGAGAAGAAAAAGAAGCAAAGTAAATGAAGAGAATAATAGAGAAAAGAAGTAACAAGGCTGTTGTGCGTCTCCATCCGAGCACCCAGCACTTGATCCCAACGTTATGCATGTTTGTCTATCTTTTATCCTTTCTGCATCTCCCGTCGCCTCCAGTTAGGTTCAGAAGTAACCTAGCTTTCTCTCGCTCCACCCGCAGACCTAGGCATGAGCCCCATCTCACTGTTTGCAGGTGGTATGGCCTTGTGCCTGGGTTCCTCATCTTTCAATTGGGATACAACGGTCCCTGCCCTGGTGGGGTTGCGCTAGGCATTGAAGGACATGGTGCAGAGTGTGGCCATTGCTCACCAGCACACCTGGGACACACCACTGGCAGTGGTCCTCCCCCACAGTGACGTGTGCATTCAGACCCATTCTTTCAGAAGCAGGCATTGGCATGTGCTGGCCCCATCCCTACCAAGGTGTGACTGTGAGGTGGCGGTTGGAGTCCAGGAATGAGCTCAGTGCAGGAGACCGGACCCGGCACAGCCCAAGTAAAACAGCAAGTGTTGGGTGTTCCTGCATGGCCTCAGGGAGCATGGAATAAAGGTCCACACATTGGAGCCAGGGGCTTCCTTGAGGCTCTTCCACCCAACAAATGCAAGAGGAAGTGGGGAAGTTAATCTGTGCCCAGAAAGCAAAGCTCAAATAGCACTGTGCACGTCCAGCCCTTGGAGAGGGGCACAGCCATGGAGCAAGACATCCCCGGCTGCAGCGCAGGGCAGCACAGTGGCCCCCGAGCTGGCCTATGCCTTTGTTTCAGGCAGCATCCTGCAAATCTTTAGCATCAGAAAGATCACAGAGAAAATAAATAAGATTGTCAGGACTTTAAAGAGGCTGGAGTCCCTGGCTGGCACCAATCCCTCCAAACAGCTGCTGGAGCTGTGCCCCTCATAGCTGACCACCCAAAAATGCCTACAGGGGCATCCCAGCAGCTGACCAAGCTGAGTCTCTTCAGCCTCTTGTCAGAACTCAACAGGAATTTCACCCAATTTTTGAGTTACTGGCCCCTGTCATCTAAAAGTGCTACCTCTAATGTGGCTTCAAGATCTGCTAGCCAGGCATGATGCTTCATATCTCTAGTCCCAGCTACTTGGAAGGCAGAGGCAGAAGGATCACAAATTTAAGGCCAGCACGGACAAAGTTAAGAGAGACCTTATCTCAAAAACAAAAGAATTGAAGGCATGGCTCAGTGGGACGCCCTGGGCTCAATCTCAGTACCTAAATAAAAATAAAATTTTAAAAAAGACCCCACTGAGGAGTTTGAAGTAATTGTCTTCTCTCTGTCCTGTCTCTGAGTCAGTGAGTCTCTAGTGGCAGCCCTTCCCAGGGCAGGTGTGCTCCATGCTCTGTCCCTTGGTGAGACAGGCATCATTTATCAGTTGAAGTTCTGAGGACTCTGCTGTGCACTCTTGCTCCCCTGCAGATCTGGTGCTATACTGCGAGGCCTTCCTGACCACCTACAGGACCTTCATCAGCCCCGAGGAGCTCATCAAGAAGCTGCAGTACCGATATCCTTCCTGCCTAGAGCCCACGAGGCAGTTCTCACACCACTTGACTGTGTCCTAGCATTCATGGCTCTGACCCTCACACTCCTTGCCTGTGAAGAGCTGAGTGAAATGACATGGAGTGGCTAGAACAGTCCAGCTGTGCTGCCAGATCGCAGTGTGGGTCACTGGGTGGTTCTGGGAAAGACTGAGAAAGATCCAAGCACACTGGAGTGGGGGAGAGAGGGTTATGGGGCCACCCCGTGAGGTTGGTACCTGCAGGTTCTCCACACTGAGCCCCAGGGAAGTGAGATTCGGTGGCCCATCTCCTCTACCTGCGGCTGACCCTGTGGGGAAGCTGCGCCTCGTCCACAGCTGGCTTCAGCTGTCCCATATCGGCCCCATAGCCTCATCTTTGGGAAATTTCACTGCCTGCAGTAGTGGTGGAGGAAGACCCTGGGGGCTTGGAAGGAAGGACCTGCTGCCCACTGCCACCTCACGCCCAAGCCTGCCAGTCTCCCTGAGTTACTGCTCCAGAAGGCCATGTCTCAGCCACATGGTGTGTGACTGCCATCTGCTGGGCAGCTCCTGTCCATCAGGCAAAAAGTCCTGATCCCTCCTGCATGCCCTGAGCCCTCTGTTCCAGCATCAGGGTCCCCCTCTAGACCTCCCCTCACCCAGACCAACCCCAGTCTATCAAGATAGATGTGACATTTCCCGTTTGCAGAGTCTGGCTTCCCCCATAACCTCACATGTTACTCAGAGTACCTGCTGGAGGCCTGGCCCAAGGAAAGGCTGTCACACAAACCTGTCAGAAACACACTTAGTCAAGCCTGAGGTGTATTTGCTTGTGGGATCTCACTTGACTATGAGACCATTTTTATGTATATAATTACCATGCCCTGTGAGCTGCTAGTCTGTCATTTCCTATCATGTAATCAAGGAAACCCAGGCTTAGTGAACTGAAGTAACTGATCTGCATAGCAGCTTGCCTCTCTACAATCAGAACTCAGGTTCTCAGCACTCCCCCACCACACCCTGGCTACTACAGGCATGTTCATAGAAACGTCACCCTCTTAAGAGCCTGGCACAGCTGGCCAGTGAGCACTGCACTGGGAGCCATGTGGACTGTCCAAGGCACAACTTCCCCCTGAACACCATGACAAGAAGGTCATGGACCATTATGGAGTCGGGAGGAACCTAAGGAGTCAGTCAGTGGGGAATTCCAAGAGTGGCAGGAAACCACAGTCTCTGAGGCAGGCATCAGCTTCGGGGGATTAGAGAGAGGATCCGGTGTTGCTGTGGGGCCAAGGACCACAGGTGGAGTGTGCTGATCTGTGGAGGGAGAGCAGCTTTCAGAGGCAAGGGTTTCCCAGGAGCATCAAGGCAAAGCCGGCTGTGTGGCCAGAGAGACAGTCATAGGGTTTTAGAAGCTTGTGGGAAGAGAAAAGGAAGACCCTTCGGGCCTGTGCACCTCCTGGGGACCTGAGGTTCTAGAGTGTGTGGTTGCGGACGCCTTTCTCTATCTGGACCTCAATATTGTAGCCCCTCAGCATGTTGGCACTCGCCTAGCGTCTCAGGTCAGACCCTGAGGGCAGACCTGGATAGCATAGGGCTATCCTGCAGACAAGGATAAGTAGCAGTTGGAAGCAGTCCTCAGGGTCAGTGGCCTGGGCTTGACTCTGCCTTTACAGTGCTGCCACTGTGCTCAGGGCCAGCGTTTGCTTCTAGACACTGATGCCTCATTCACAGTGTTCCTGGCACATGGAAAGTACTCAGAAAGCAGTAGCTTAAAGCCAGCACTCCACACATCAACCCACATTACGGCTGTTTCTTTAACCCATGTGCCACATACGAGAAGTTCTCTCCCTTTGCCGACACGTTCAAGAAGCGCGTCAGCAAGAACACATTCTTCGTGTTGGTGCGGGTGGTGGATGAGCTCTGGTGAGTGCTTCTCAGGGGGTTGGGGGAGGGCAGCTCAGCAGGCCACTGGCAAACCACGACACAAGGGTGTTGTAGGCTTCCTTGCCAGTTCTGAACAGGGCTCTTTCCTGCTTTATTACGTAGCCCTTTGAAAGAATGACCCTGTATGCCAGGGTGAGGTATTAGGCCCTGGCCTTCCTTGGGGGATCCATCTTGGGTCCTCAGGAGTGCCCTGCCCTGTCCCCCCTCCCCCGACCCCCAGTATCTTAGGACTTGGCCATAGTGAGTCATGCTTGTAGCAACAGTGGGGGCCCAGTGGAGACTGGGAGGTGGCAGGGGTGACCTCTGCCTTAGCCCCTGCCATGTCCATATGTAACAAGAGCACCTTTCCTAGGCATGCAGAGTCAGGGTGATCACCTAGGGAATGGTGGACACAGAGGGCTCAGCGGGGACGTAAGAGGCATCTTTTAGTCATCTACCCTGTGACACCGGGAGCTCTCCATGGCAGGGCTGGTGTGGGGTTTGTCTCTGTGGCCGAGTCCCCACGTAGTCCTGGTGCTTGGTAGTGCCAAGCATGTGCTGAATAATGACGAGACCTGTTGCTAGAAAGGCTACTCCCAGATGTGGGCAGTGCCCTGGATTTGGTGTAACTCTCTTCCCCTGGGAGGCCCCAGCTCTGCTGATGCTGCTGTGCACACTGGGTCCTCAGGTGGGCTCTCCTGGCCTGCCCTTCACCCCATGCCCTTGGCCCTTTAGCCTGGTGGAGTTGACAGAAGAGATCTTGAAGCTGCTGATGGAGCTGGTCTTCCGCCTGGTGTGCAGTGGAGAGCTTAGCCTGGCCCGTGTGCTCCGTAAGAACATCTTGGACAAGGTGAACCAGAAGAAGTTGCTCAGGTGTGCCAACTCCGACCAGCCTCTGGCAGCCAGGGGCGTTGCAGCCAGGTGAGGAGCCAGCCTCTGCCACTTGGGTAAGAGCTGTGCCTGCTAGCCACCTTTCTGTCCGACTTTCCTCATTTTACCCCCTTCCCCAGCTGCTGAGCTGAACAGACAGGAGATGATTGAGTTGTGCTCCCAGCTGTGGTCAGCTCCAGTCTGTCTCCCAGCTCTGATATGGCAGATGTTAGCTCCTGCACTGTCCTGACCTTTCTGAGAACCTGCCCCTCTCTCTGCCCCAGCCCGAGGGTTGGTGTCCGTTCTGGCTGTCAATATTGACATGCTCCATTGTGAGCATTATCATGTATTCATGAGGTCCTGGCTGTGTTCTTACCAGCCACCTGGAAGGGGGCTCAGCAAAACCTCCAGCATCTGTACTGTGAGCTCACAACAGGGCTCAGTTTCCTGCTTCTGGGGCAGCAGAGCGCCCTGCAGTCAGTCATCCTGGCTACCTAAAGCTCATTGCCCATCTTCAGCCATACTTCTTGTGCCTCTCTCTTCTAGGCCGGGGACCCTGCATGACTTCCACAGCCACGAAATAGCCGAGCAGCTGACACTGCTGGATGCTGAGCTCTTCTATAAGATAGAGGTATGTGTTGAGTGGCCTAATATGGAAAGGCAGCTGTGTGTCCCAGGGAGCTGGAGCATCAGTGCTGTCTGCTCTATTTCCTCTTATAGATTCCTGAGGTTTTACTTTGGGCCAAAGAGCAGAACGAGGAGAAGAGCCCCAACCTGACCCAGTTCACAGAGCACTTCAACAACATGTCCTACTGGTAAGAAGGGGCCGCAGCACCACCCTGCTTCTCTGGGTGGTGGCACACCGGGTGGGTTCAGCCTTCCTCTGAAGGGAGCTTGAATGGTATCTATGAGCACTAACCTTCAGCAATGAACAGCAGAGAGAGAAAGGGCAGGGACTGGCCACCTGCAGTTGATAGTGGCCAGGGAGGAGACATCAAGGGTGCCATCCTGCACTGATCATTGCCCATCTTTCCTGCCAGACTGCCACCAGCAGCCATCAGGGCTGGTGCTCATTCCAGCTCTGCCTGACAGATCAGTTAGCAAAGAAGGGGGACCTGTTAATACTTCTGTCCTTTAATTCTTTTTCTTTGGTGGGAGAGAGGTAGGACTGGGATTTGAACTCAGAACTTCACACTTGCCAAGCAGGCACTCTACCACTTGAGCCACACCTCCAGTCTATTTTGTTCTGGTTATTTTGGAGATGGGGTCTTGTGAATTATTTTTCCTGGGTTGGCCTCAAACTGCAGTCCTCCCAATCTCAGCCTCCCAAAAGCTAGGATTACAGGCATAAGACACTACTATCTTGCTGTCCCTTAATTCTTTTTTTTTTTTTTGTGGTACTGGGGTTTAAAGTCAGGGCCTACACCTTGAACCACTCCACCGGCCCTTTTTTGTGGTGGATATTTTCCAGATGGGGTCTCACAAACTATTTGCCCTGGCTGGCCTCAAATTGTGATCCTCCTGATCGCTGCTAGGATAGGTGTGAGCCACCGGTGCCCAACTGTCCTTTAATTCTTAAAGCTTGTAGCCCACATGTGTTGCCTTTTCAAGATGTCACTCAAAGTACTACAGACTCTCAGCTTGCAAGACCAGTCAGAACTGGGCAGGGATGCCCCTCCTGCTATAGCAGGCCCCACCCTTCAAGCTCACCATCTTTTGTACTGGGGACTGAACCGAGGGCCAGGCAAGGGTTTTACCACTTGAGCCACATCCCCAGTCCTCCTATTTCTTACTTTCTTTTTGAGACAGGGTCTTGCTAACTTTGCCTGGACTGGTCACAACCTCAGGCTTCTCTTTCTTCTACTTCCCGAGTAGCTGAGATTCCAGGCATGGCCACCATGCCCTGCAATGTCTGGTATTTTTAAATGCTCTGGGAACTGCTCAGGATTCGGTTCCCCTCAAGGACTTCCCTGCAGTAGCCACCTGATGTTCAACGTAGGGCATGGTGGTTTCTAGAGCAGACAGAAACTGCACGGATGCCCAAGCCTGGCCTCCCAGCACACGTGGCCCCTGCTGGGTGCCGGAGGTTGTGGGGCACTCCCCACAAGGCCTGACTGACCTGAGGTGCAGAGTTCCCTTTGGAGCCATAGCCTCCAAGACGTCCCTGCCACAGGCACCTTTGCAGGGTGGAGGTAGCACAATGTGGCCACTCCCCCAAGTACCCGTAGTAGTGACCCTGTGAACCATCGGAGTGGAGGCCACTGTGAGGTCCCCAAGGTTCAAGTGAGGCTGAACTTTGGTTTTGACTGTGATTGCTGCCAAGTTTCTGAGCAGTTCCCTCCCTCTTGGCTGGCATAAGTGGCCCCTAACTCAGTTGCGAGCTGGCCTCCCTGGGCCTGGCCTGAGGCCACATGAGGACTTTCCCTGCCAGGAACCTCCCAGGCCTCCATTCCAGAAGCTGAGGCCCCTGTTCTGACCCCAGGGACACTGGGAGCCCCCTGAGAGCAGAGACCAGGGTGTGCCTGGGCCTCTGAGTCATGGACTTTGGTGGGTGTGAGCTCGTGGCTGGCTGGTGCAGGGGTCATGCACTTCCCATCTCCCCCAGAACCACCGGGCTGCAAGGGGACAGTTGGCTCAGCTGCTGCTTCTCTGTCCCTTATTCCGCAGGGTCCGGTCCATAATCATGCTGCAGGAGAAGGCCCAGGACAGGGAGCGGCTGCTCTTGAAGTTCATCAAGATTATGAAGGTAGCAGTGGCCCAGCCCCCAAGCCCCTCCAGCCCCACCTGGGTTAGTCGGAGCCCATAGCTCTGTACTGTCCCTCACGTCCGCCTCTCTCTGCAGCACCTGCGGAAGCTGAATAACTTCAACTCCTACCTGGCCATCCTCTCAGCACTGGATTCGGCACCCATCCGCAGACTAGAGTGGCAGAGGCAGACCTCAGAGGTGGGCAGAAAGGCTGAGCAGAGGCCCTTGGGTGGGAAGGAGAAACAAGCTGGAGCAAGACCAGATGTGGGTCCCTGTCTACCACCAACGTCTGTGACAGACAACTACCCTCTCCCATCTCAGTCCTGCCTCTAGGCCCCATTACTGGCTCCCAAGGCCTTTGTACTTAGTTCTGGAGTTGTCACATCTGGGTGTCTGGCTGCCTGTCATTGCTGCAAACTTGCACCTGGGTCCTAGATTCACCTGCTAGGACCTTCCTACACCCCATCCTGCTGAAGGGGGCTGCTTTTGAGTGGGTTTCTTCTAGGTATGTGCTAAAGTAAAGGGGCAAGGTGCTGAGTGAGCATGGGAGCAAGCTTCTCCCTGAGGATGTGACCTCACATCACCCAGTGGGCATTTTCCACAAAAAGACATGAGGTCTCCTTGTCGCCAGGGTCATGATTGACACCAAGTGAAAAGGGACTGAGTCCTTTCGGGGCCTAGTCTGACTTATTCGCATATTATGGGCACCTGACGTCATCTTGGCACTCACTAACCTCCTCTGTCCTGCAGGGCCTGGCCGAGTACTGTACACTGATTGACAGCTCATCCTCCTTCCGAGCCTACCGGGCTGCACTCTCGGAGGTGGAGCCCCCGTGCATCCCATACCTGTGAGTGGCATGCCTCCTACTTCTCCAGGAAGATGTGCCGGGCTCTCCAGCTAGGTCCTCACTGATGGGTCCCCATGGCTGTGTCTGTTCTATTTTACCATGAACTTAAAAATGTGCTCCTACCAGGTGCTGGTGGCTCACACCTATAATCCTAGCCACTTGGGAGGCAGAGATTGGGAGGATCATGGTTCAAGGCCACCCAGATAAATAGTTCTCTAGACCCCGTCTCCAAAATATCAACAGCAAAGTGGACTGGAGGTGTGGCTCAAGCAGTAGTCGCAAGCATGAAGCCCTGAGTTCAAATCCCGATTCCATCCAAAATGAAAGTAATGGTAATAAATGTGCTCCTGAGTCCCAGTGCAGCAGAGGAGAAAGATCAAGCCAAGTCCTTTCCTTCGTGGATGCAACCCAGTATATGCAGGCAGGCTTCTCTTCCCTTCACATGGCAACTCCCAAGGCCTCAAGCCCGGCTGCATGTCACAGTGGCCTGAGGCTCCAAGTGGAGTCACCCCACAAGCCTGGAAAGCACTTCGGGAAAAGAAGTTTAGAAAGGGGGCTGTGGGCACTCATCAGAGTTTCTAATAACATACTAGTGGGAAGTCAGGCACCAGTGGCTCATGCCTGTAATTTACCCTAGCTACTCAGAAGGCAGAGGTCAGGAGGATTGCAGTCTGAGGCTAACCTGGGCAAAAAGTTCTCTCAAGACCCCATCTCAACCAATAAAAGCTGGGTGTTATGGCACATGCCTGTCATCCCAGCTACACAGGAAGCCTTTTTTAAAAAGATACTAGTGGGTATTGGGGAATCTCCAAAAGGGGCCAAAGACCCAGCAGCGCCCTGGGGCTAGAGGGGCAAAGGACCCTCCTTGGGACCTTCACCTTCTAAGGCACAGATCTCGCAGCCATGACTCCCTCTTTGCTCAGCCTCTTGTCCTCACAGAGTGCTCATACACTGGCCCGAAGGACACGGTCTGGGTCCTCAGGCCAAGCCTTTCTTCATCTGCCCTCCAGCTCCCTGTGCTCTGTTAATAAATGGTCTCTGTCTCCTCCGTCCAGTTGAAGGTTTCTGTTTTACTTTCCATTTGATAATTTCTTAGTGATCCACAGCTGTGCCCACACATGGGGCCTGGACAGGGCAGGTGCTGGCTGAGGGACCCAGGGCAGTCATGACCAGAGCTCAAGGGGCATTCACATCAGGAGTACAAGGCTCCTAGACCTGCTCTCTGGTTGCTGCAGGGCTGGGCAGCTGCTTGGCTCAGGCCGAGGTCATCGTCAGCTGCTGGCCAGTCCTGGTGCTGAAGCCCTCACAATGAACCGGCCACCTCCTGAGTGGGTGGCCAGTGTGGCAACCGGCTTCTTCCTTCATCCCCTAGGGGTCTGATCCTGCAGGACCTGACCTTTGTTCATCTAGGAAACCCAGACTACATCGACGGGAAGGTGAACTTCTCCAAGCGGTGGCAGCAGTTCAACATCCTGGACAGCATGCGGTGCTTCCAACAGGCGTGAGTGCTGTGCCCGCCTCAGGGAGGGACCTGGGTCAGAAGCACTCCTCCCGGGTTTCCTCAGCACGGTATGGGAAGGTGCCCAGATCCCTGCCCAGCAGGGTGCCCTTCTGGCCCCAAGGAGACTGAAAGCCTTGGCCTTCCTGGCTCCAGGGTAACCAGCAGCAGGCTAGGGCATCAGAGCTCACCCAGGGTAGCCCCAGAGATCATTGTGCCCGGGACCAATCTGCCCAGGGCACCCCAGAGGGGAACCAGACTTCTTAGTTGCCCTGGGGGAGCCCTTGACAGGTATTGCTTGGGGACGGGGAGAACATAGGCCACTCACACTCCAGTGCTGTGGTGCTGCATGTTGGGACCTCTGTCAGATGGGATGGCAGTGACCTTTGCTATGCAGTTCACTGTCCAGGCAGTGGGACAGTCTTTGTGGTGCCCTCTGAGAGGTTATAGCCATCAGATTGGTCAGCCTTCCCTCTCTGACTGCCCTCCTCACCATCAGGCATTACGACATCCGGAGAAATGACGACATCATAAACTTCTTCAATGACTTCAGTGACCATCTAGCCGAGGAGGCCCTATGGGAACTCTCTCTGAAAATTAAGCCCAGGAACATCACAAGGAGAAAAACAGACCGGGAAGAGAAGACCTAGGAGCAGCACTTAAGCATGAGGCAAACACTCAAGAGGCCCAGAGAGGACTTTGGACCGGCAGGCAGGCTGCAGTATCCTGGCTTCACAGCCCATCCATGGGCCCGTCTGTACAGGCAGAGCCCGAGCCTTCTGGCAGCTCCCTGCCTCCCGCCCTGTGGCACAGCCCCAGGGCGCACAGCAAGCCAGCAGGCAGGCCTCAGTACTGACTTGTGAACCCTGGTCCCCTGGTCTGGTTTTGTTTTCTGCTTTCACTTCCACACTCCCTTCTGTTCTCCTACCCTCTCTCCTCCAGCCTGGGAGTGGGAGAGACCTCAACAGCAGACCAGAGTAGGGCAGACCCTGGCCCTCCCCAAGCTGGAGGCTCTCTGAGCCTCGCAAAGTGACAGAGGAGTGGAGGCCTGGTGATCCACAGGTGACGCCTGGAGCCAGGGAGATGTAGCTGAGGGACAGGAGGTGGGGGGGGGGGGGCAGGTGCTTTTTGCTCTCTACTCCCTGCTTTTTAAATGGGGATGGGGCATGCATTTTGCCTGGCCTAAGAGCTATGACAGGTGGTGTCCAGCAGTTGAGCTGGTGCTCCTCATCACAGTGCTAGCTTCAGACCTGTCCCACTCTGTAGAGCCCCACAGGTCCTCGTGCTGGACCTAGAGCAACAGCAGTGTCTGCTGTCTTGTTGCTCCTTCCACTCCCCTGGCACACGCTGTGGGGGCAGGGAAGAGGAGACGGAGGGAAAAGCTTGTCATCATAGAGACACTAATTGCTGAGCTGGGCAAGGCTGAGCTCTTGAGAGCTGATACAGAGAGTGGAAGGGGGAAGAACTTGCTGTCCTGGGGAGAGGCCAGCACCCCCTTCCTCCGTGCTTGCTGTGTGCCTTAAACTCCATCTCCTGTCCCTCTCCATCCAGTGAGCCTTCCTCCTACCTTGTCACACCCCTAGTGGGCAGCAGGTTCTTAGCACCTTTCCACCAGTGCTCCAGTTCTCCCTTGAGAGTCCTGAGCAAGCCTGGGGTACAAGAACAGCAGAGGCACTTGCTGAGGCTGACTGATGCCTAGCAAAAGCGCCTTCCAGGCAGGTCTTCCTTCCCATGTTGAATTTTCGCTGCTGAGGTTGACAATCCAGAGCAAGGTTTGTGGGTACTCGGCAAGCAGAGGTGCCCACTGGACCCTCCCTGCCCATCTGGCTCCATAGCCACCAGCATGGGCAGGCAGGCACACGGGCAGGCTGGAGTCCAGGTGCGCTGCAGGTAGCAGCCCAGCCTCCTGGCCCTGTTTTGCACGAATGAGCGCTCATCTCTCCTGGGTGTGGGGCTTGGTCAGGTGATGAAAGGATCTGGCTCTGCGTCCTCAGCCCAGTGTGTACAGCAGAGGAAAAGGCAGAGAGCAACACCTGTTGAATGGGTACAGGTTTTAAACAACAGTGTCACTTTGAGTCTCGGGGGGCTTTCAGAAGCTTTTACTGAAAAGAAAACTTGAGCTGTTTTCCTCTTTCATGTTTATTTGTCCTTTAAATAGAGGGGAGGTCTGTGGACTGTCACCAGCGCCCCTCTGGCAGCCGTCCTGCTGGCAGCCGGGGACCTGCCATTTTATTATTTAAGGAGTGTGTGTGGAGTCAGCTTTGAGCAGTGTCACATGTGGGGTGGGTTTCATTTGTTCCCTCCTTTGTAAGTCCTTTCATTTCAGTCTTTGCCTTTGCCGAGCTCCGGGAGTGCTGCTGCTTGTGCATGGGAGGTCACTGGGCACACAGGGCCCTGAGATGTGCAAGTCAACTCTCCCTCCATTTTTAAGGCCCCCAGCAGTTTCATCTGTAGCTCAGACCAGGGCTGCATTATCACCAACCCTTCCTTGGTCCTGCAGCAGACAGATTCCAGTCTGCAGGTGGGGCTGTCCATGAGCTGAACAGATGGCAGGGGACAGGATCACCTTCACGATTCAGAGGTGCCCATCCACAGAGCACCCAGGTCCTCCCTTAACCCCCCCATGAGCCTTTGGGGGCCTGATCAAAGGGCCCAGGCAGTGGGTGGGATGTGCCAGGTGCCCAGGGCAGCATCTGATCCAGAGACTCCCCCATGAGGACAGCCAGGTGCAATGTGTGTGTTTAACTTATTGGCCGACAGGCTTCCCCACCCTCCTGCCTCTGGCCGTGGCTGAGCCCAGTGCTCCAGCTGCAGCCAGGCTGCAACTCATCTGTTTTTTGGGGGGGCTGGGGAGAGTTGTGGGAATCAGTCTTCACAGACAGACAAGTGATGTGGATGGCTGGGGCCCTACAGAAGCCAGTCCTCGCTGCAGGGGTGGTGAAGCCGGGGCCAGGGCAGGCACACGTGTCTGACCAGAGCTCCTATCTGAGACATGTCTCCCATCCCGACTGCCCCACGGCTTCCCCAGTGTGACATTGTAAAATATACCCCCCAAACTAACCTGCAGCATCTTCCTGCAGACGTTTCAGATGTGTAACTTTTATATGAAAGAAAAATAAACATAGACAGCCGTCTGATGGCATGTCTGTATCCAAGCTGTGTGTGCCAATCTTCCTTCTGCTAGTTCCCCCCACACCCTCCACATCTCCTGTGACCTCGCCCTGGTGGGCTGCAGGCTGGGATAGTTGGTCTCAGTCCCCAGACCCACTTCTGCTGTTGAGTAGTTCTGGCTGGTGCAGTGGCCATCACCAACCAGCATTGGCTGCTGTCCAAAACCTTCCCTCCAAGTTTTTAGTCTCAAAGGCATTCAAATAAAGGAGCTTCCCCATGCTCACCCTGGGGCCCTGTGAAAAGGATGCTTCTAGAGCTATGGCATGAGGCCATACTGTATCCAAAATATGCCTTCTATAGGTCTCTATCACTCCTGTCCCTAAGGCAGTGCCCTGAGGCTCAGGCCCAGCCATGTGGGAAGCAGCCAAGCCCCTGTGCCGCTGTGGACCAAGTGAGTGAGGAGCCCGATGGATTCTAGTCCCTTCTTGGCCCTGAGGTGGGCTGTATTCTTCCACACAGAGTGAGCCTGGAAAGCTGTTCATCGTTCTTTACCATCCTCCCAAAGCCCCATGTGCCAGTCACCCCCTCACGCCTAGGACTCCTGTCCCCAGCACCCTTACCGCACTGAGGATGTGCATCTGAAGCAGGTGAGGGATGGCAGTGGGTCAGGCCTTGCCCCAATCCCCTAGCTTGACTTTGGGCTCTGCAGCTGCCCACAGGGCAGCCTGGGAAGTCCAGCACTGCTCCTTTGAACCTAAAGGCAGAGACCCATGAGGTCAGTATCCAGCAGGGAGAAGGGTGTCTCCCCTCAGACCCACTTTAGGTGGGTTCCCCTCAACCTTCCAAAGGCCAGCCTGAGCCAGTCCCCTTAAAGGGAGGGGCACACTTACAATCTGACTAGAGTGGCTTCAACTGTAGAGAAGGCCCTCCACCACCCATCAGCTGTTTACTGAGCACCTAGAAAGGACTAGGCATCATCAGGAAGTCTCATGTCATCCCAGGTGACAACCTGCCCAGTTAGCCTTTACTAGTTGCTTCTCAGGCCAGTCATTCAGCCATGCATGCCTCGGACTCTCCGGTGTCTACCATCGTCCGGTATGACTAGTGGTAACCCTGAGCCCCAGAGAGAGACTTCTCGGCCCAGGTCCTCCTCTTCCATCTCCTTCACCTGCCAGCAGTGCCAAGAGTCTCATCTAACTGGACAATGGTGACTCACGCCTGTAATCCTAGCTACTCAGGAGGCAGAGATCAGGAGGATCGTGGTTCAAAGCCACCCTGGGCAAATAGTTTGTAAGATTAAAAAAAAAAAGCTCTTCACCAAAAAAAAAAGAGCTGGTGGAGTGGGAGTGGCTCAAGGTGTAAGCCCTGAGTTGAAACCCCAGTACGACAAAAAAAAAAAAAAGTCTTGGCTGTCCCCAACACCCCCAGGTGTTGACAGACAAGGTGTGAGCCTCAGGCCTGAGCCTTCCCAAGGCTGCAGGTCACCCACTGACAACACCTACCCTGGTCTTTGGTGACTGAGGGCTGCAGAGATCACTGTGGTTGTGGACAAAACACCTGTGTTCCCAGAAAGCCCCACCTAGGGCTGGGACTCTGCATGTTCAGTCAATGACCACTCCAGGGGGACCATAGCAGCACCAAGGGAACTGAGCCCTTTGGGCCTCACAGTAATCCCAGTCCATCCCCCCAGGCGCCCAAGACTGCAATTCTGGGGTCCAGTGGCTACCCAGCATTTCCCCAGTGTGAGCATTCACCCGGACCATTGTGAGCCAAGCAAGGCAGGGCTTGGGCTTTGGAGTCCCATGCTTCCTGGCAACAGTAGGAAGAATTTGGCCCTTGGCTGCAAAGGGCTCTGTCTGTCCTGACTGCAGCTGACACACCAGAGGACCTTGGGTAAGTGGCTCCCTTCTCTGTTCCCAGTGTCCGGGCATCAAGCACCTGCTGACTGCCTTATCTCAGCCATCGTAGTTGAAGAGTCACATAATCGAAATGTCACAAGCAGGACAAGGGCCACAGCGTCTGGACTTGACGTAGGGATTTGAGATCTACCCACAAGCTCCAGGCCCAGACAGGTTGAATGAGTTATTCACACCACACAACTCCTGCTGCGGCACTGAAAAGGAGGTGCCCTTGGCTGTTTTGTAACACCAGTCCAGACGAGAGCAGGACAGGAGAGGTCGGACCAATCACCTTGACTCTGACCAGCAGCACCTAGAAATCAAGCTGGGCCTGTCTTAAAAATAGCAAGGGACCATCATCCCAGAATCTCACATGCCAGACGTTCACATTCTGGGTCTGTCACCTCCCTTTCCTGGGCACACAAGGGCTACACTTCTCAGGCCCCTCGCCTGGAATCTGCGGGACAGGGATGCCTGTTGATTTGGACTAGGTTCTGGAGAGCTGCTGAGCCCCCTCCAAACTCCCCGTCCCTTGCTGCCCATGTACAACTCAAGTGGAGGGGCCGGCAGCCCCTTGGACCCGCGCTGGGCGCTGTGAGGGAAGAGCGAGCGCTGGCAGGCTTGTATGCACAGCAAGGCCCACCTCCCGAGCGCCACAGCCTCACGCACCATCACCGCTGTCCAAGGAGCCAAGCAGCCAGACCAAAAGCATTCTGGGGGAAAGTGCATGTTTTTCTTGTTACTCCCTAAACAATACAGGAAAACAACCATTTGCCCATCATTTATGGTGTTCTACGTAATCCGGAGACGATTTAAAGTGTACAGAGGATTGCAGAGCTTCTATGGAAATATTACGCTTCGTGTAAGAGACTTGAGTATCTGAGGACTTCCATATCCTCCGGGGTCCTGGAACCTGCCCAGGCAGCCACCTCGATGGTCACAGAGCAGCCTTCATTAAAAATGCAGCACCTATCTATAATTTTCATTTGTTTATTTTATTTTATTTTATTTTTGCCAGTATAGAGTTTGAACTCAGCCTACACCCTGAGCCACTCCACCAGCCCTTTGTGTGGTGGGTTTTTCCAAGATAGGGTCTCTC